ACTCACTACCCCAAAAATCCATATTGCCCATTATGCCATATTGCTAAGGATACTGCAATGCGGGTCTCTCATGTTAAGGATGGTAAGTCCGATGATAAGATAGATCCACCAAAACAACCTTTTGAGCAATTGGCCACTGATGATGTTATCCTTGCAAAAGGGTCTGAGCACTTTGGTACGGGGATAGGTGGGGTTAAAACACACCATGTGGTAAGGGACCTTTACTCTGGTGCACGAATAGCATATCCCCTTTCAAAGAGAGATGTTGAATCACATGCCAAAAATTTTCGACATTTCGTGGGATTGAAAGCCAATGAACTTGCCACCCACACACTTATCAAAATGGACGAAGCACAGGAATTGGAGCAGGCTGCCCATCAGGTCGGCTTCGTTCCTGAGACGTCCCTTCCTAACCGTTGGCCGCACAATGCTCTGTTAGAGCGCGACATCCGGGAAGAGAAAGAGTGTTGCAGGGTTGTTCACTTACAATCTGGTTTGCCTTATGAGTATCACACTTATAGTTACCCATACGCATGTCTTTCCATGACTTTTGATAGACCTTCTATTGCGGACCCTGAAAAGACCCAATGGGAAGCTCTTACACGTGAAAAGTTTGATGGTAAGCGTTTGTGTTTCGGTCAACTTGTGTATTATCGCAAGAAGCATCCAACAAAAAGGACCTTAGAACCCAATATGGCCCCTGGTTTGTTTCTTGGTTGGCGAATCGATTCTGGTTTTCGTTATAGATATGTTGTTCGGATATTAGATTATCAAGAGTTTCGAACTAGAGGTGCTTCATGTGTTTCCGATGTACCCGAGCCTGAACTATACCTTCCAGATGGTGATGCCTATTTTCCCGTTGGTTTTTCGAAGCATCAGGCCTTAATCAGGGGGGATGATCCCGATGATGTTAAACTCCCTGAAATAGCCCTGCAAAATGTTCTGTTTCCACCAGACGGCGGTTTAGCTTCCCCATCTACACCCGGTCCCAAACCTAGATCGGTTTATATCACCTTAGACCGCATCATAAAGTTTAAGGAGACTCCCGGTTGTACAGGGTGTAAGAATAAGACTCGGTACCATAATGCAGAGTGCCGCAAACGGTTCCAGAAACTAGTTGATGAAGAGAAGGAGCTGGAAGCCAAGTCAAAGCCCATATCAGAGTCGGTAGTTGTCGAACCTCCTAGCGAAGTTCCCAGTGCGCTTGAGGATGCCCCCGTGGGACCACCACCGGAAGACGGCATATTTGATGATGAAGGTGAAATCACAATTGCCGTTCCTTATAGTGTCTCTGGTGCTGCCACTTTGCCCCAGACCGCTCCCAGCCGTGCTGAGCTAAGTAGGGATTCCTTGCCAGTGTTCGGTGCACAGCCCGTGCCTGCATGCCCCGCAGCTAATCAGCCTCCTAAGAATAACAATAATCGTCGTAAACGACGTGCCTTGAAGAAAAGCCAGAGATCCAATGAAAGATCAACACTGTTTGAGTTTGCATGTTCCCTCAACTCACAGCTTGGGTTGACAAGTGAACAATGTAACATAAATCACATTGGGTTATGCAAGGAAAGGATAGACTTAAGTGATGAGAATCAATGTTCCCAACTTGATTATCAAATAGGTGAAGCCGCAAAAGTTGCACCACCTAACCTTTGGTCGTCCATACCATGCACGTCTGGTTCACCTTGGCAGTATATCAATAGACGGAGGGGAGGAGCTGCTTACATGAAAAGATTAGCGCTTCAACTCCGAGAATCGAAACGACTTTTCAAAAGCTTTTCCAAAAGGGCAGAATTAGTTTTGAAACTAGGAGGCACTGTTTCTTTCGAATGGCCACGTCCCTCAACTGGCTGGAAGAGACCAGATGTCGTAGCTTTCTTTAATTCTCACCCTGAGTTTATGGAAGTTGATTTCGATGGTTGTGCAGTAGGTCTTAAGTCCAAGAAAGGTGTTCCCATCAAAAAGCCTTGGAGAGTCCGAACCACTTCCCAAAGAATAGTAGATGTTTTTAAAGATAAAAAGTGCAGTTGTGAACAGCCACATGAAAAGTGTGAAGGTTCGGAAACGGCGCGATCAGCTATGTATCCTCCAGAGATGGCATTTTTGATTACCCAAGCGCTGTACCCTGCTAAGTGTTCTCAACAACATGCTCCCGCAATGCCATGCGCTCCACTTTCAACCGAGCCCCAAGAGCACCGCGAAGTTGAACAACATCTTAAACATGTGTCCCCACTAGCTGGTTTTGAGGATCTTGCAATTGCCATTGAAACAGATCCAACAGTAAACTGTTTAGTGTCGGAGCTTCTTGACCATGAGCGTTTGTTGTCACAAGCCTTTGGGCATGAAGATAACAGTGAACCCCCCAAAGAGGTTCAAGCCATGGTAACTAAGTTGCTTTCTAGGGCCGAGATGTTATCCAACCCCCAAGCCCTTGATGCTGTTAAGGCCAAGGCCGATGGACTCATCAAGGCGGGAACGTGGTCACTTGATTCCGTTCGGGAAAAGGAAGATGTTCGCGCCGAGGCCAAGCGCACCGGAGTGTCCGTTCATTTCGGGCAACTCATGACGATAGCATCCATTAAGTTCTTTGAACTTGCGCAGCATCTACAAAAGATGAAGGGTAGGATCGTCTACCGAGGCGACTGCGCAAAGGATGAACACGGTGCTGCAGCGGTTTACCAGGAGCTAGGGGCAAACCCGACTTCGGTCCAAGGTTTGAATGCCTGTTTAGCATACGGTTCCCTGCCAGGTAATAGCTCATCCGCAGCTGATGCTGTTAAGGCTTACGTTCAAGCACTCCTGTCTTCAAAATATAAGACTTGGATAGAACTCCCGCCTGAGCTAAGACCAAAACATTGGCGAGATAAGTTTGTTAAACCCGTAGTCCTCCTAGTTAAAGCCTTATACGGTCATCCTGACGCCGGTGGCCTTTGGGAGCAGCACCTAAAGAAAATTATCCGCAACCTAGGTGGCCAAGAGGTACCTGAATACCCTGGTAACTTCTTTTTCCCAGATACTAAGTTGTTGCTTTCCACCTATGTAGATGATCTCACGCTTGCTGGTCCCACTGACCAACATGAAGCCTTTTGGGCGAAGTTGACATCCGTTGTGGATATAGAACCACCTGAACCAATATACCGAATTTTAGGTCGCAATCATCTAGTAATGCCATTGTCCAAAACCGAGGGTTCCGAGGAATGTGCTGCGTTTCGCGCACAAGAAGCCTTAGTCTTTGACATGCTAGATTATGCACACCAAACAGTTGATCTTTATAAGTCCATCACCAACACCAAAAGTTTGAAGCATGCTGCCACTCCTTTTGTACCTGATGGTTCTGTCTCTGTTGAAGATGAAGAGGCTAAAGGTGAATTGGCACCCAATGCATGCCGCATTCTTATGAAGGCGTTGTGGCTTGGTCGGCTGTCCAGACCTGATATAATAAAACCCATCAACGATTTAGCCACTAAAGTGCAGTCTTGGTCCAGGGGGGACGATAAGAGGTTGTTAAGACTCATCCAATACATAGACTCTACACCCCAATACCGTCTAGTGGGTACCATCAAAGATAATCCCGAAGATCTTGAGTTACGTTTATACGTTGACGCAGATTTCGCCGGTGATCGTCTCAGTGGAAAATCCACGTCCGGTGGGTATTTAGTTCTATATGGGCCTAACTCCTTCTTCCCTCTTGCGTGGGTTAGCAAACGCCAAACTTCCACATCTCGTTCTACAACAGAATCTGAGGTGGTTTCCTTGGCTTATTCCCTATACCAAGAAGGCCTGCCGGCCCTGCAACTCTGGGAGCTTCTCCTAGGGCGCACAGTGACGCTTAGAGTTTTAGAAGATAACCAAGCTACCATCCTGGTAGTACGTAAAGGTTATTCCCCTAAGCTTAGGCATATCACTCGCACCCATAAAGTAAACTTATCTGGCCTTTCCGAAGTCTTCCGTGAAGACTCAGCCGAACTCGAATACTGTCAAACCGACAGTCAGGCCGCCGATATTTTTACTAAGGCGTTGCCACCCCAAAAGTGGGCCCCGGCACTGCGCTTGCTTGGCATCCGTGTAGATTTAGGTAGTGAACTCAAATCCAAGGAAGGGGCTGCTACCTAGCGCCCTAACCTGTATACTAGTTGCCAGCGTAGGATAGGGTAGGGGGGAGTAGAAATATTACGACCCCTATACCACCACTGTATATACTAGTAATAGTTCACTCCACACTGTAGCTATGTTACCAAACACTCCAACTTAATGCACAGTCTTTCATACTGTAAATATCCCCATGGTTAAAGCAGTAACCTATTGTGGTAATTACCATGCACCGAGCATAGGGTCATTACCGCTATGCGACTGCATGGCTCAAGTCGCGTATGTAAAAAGCGCGCACATGTTTATATCTTTGGGGCAAGGGAGTTTAAACCGTGGTTGGTTGTTTTCCCCCTTGTTTCTCTAATTTAACGTAGCTATTGAAAATGGCCATTTATAGTGGATTTTCCCATTAAAAATGGTGATTTTCCATAGTTATGTTAGTTTACCAGAGGGTAACAATGGGCGACACATATTATTATGGGTACTTTTTTATTAGGCTCTAGGATGGTCTTTTGGTTCAGTTTTTCTGAACATGGAATACATCACCCACATGGCAATGAATTCATGGGAATATACGGATGATTAAGTGATGATTCAGCATGATTCAGCTTGCTGGATTTGGGGCTGGCCCATTTTCAAAGCCAATGCATACGCGCATTTTAAGGTCCAGTAACTGCTTGCTGGATGGATGTTTTTCCTGCAAGCAGTTACTGAATCCCGGGAATGCCAACACCATCAATCCACGACCCATCCAGCATGGGGTTCAAAATGTGCTGAGCTTGTTTTCAAACTACTGGAACTACTGGACCTCAAAATCAAAATCGCTCAAAAAGTCAGCATTTCCATATATTTCCCCCACCAAACGAGTCCAGATTCATTTGGAGAGCATGCTGTGCCTCGTTTGTCTTCGCACGGAGGAGTCACCGTCCCCGAAATCTCCCATTGAGTCTCCATCTCCAAGTGAAGTCAGAGAGCTGGAGGAATTGGTTGAGGAACTCACTGAGACACTCAGATTTCATGAGATTTCATCAGATTTCTTTCTATTTGTTCCCCCCAAAAATGGGGAGCTATGACAGCTATGAAATGAGTTTCGTGATCACCACATGATAAGTGATTGTTTTGAGTTTTTTTTGGACGGGAGGGGAGGGGACAATATCAACTTTTGGGTGCTATGGGTCAAACTGAGTAACTTTCAACGGCGTCGACGGCGTCGAGAAGGAATATGAAAAGTGGTTGTATGATGATACTAGTTTGATTTATTTTTTTGCATTTTTGGGTGCTATTCTCATAAAGTTTCTCAACACAGCAAGGCATTTTTGGCTTTTGGTCGCAGGAACCAAGTGACATCCGGCTCCAATGAAATCCCATAGGAGGTTTAAAAGCTGTGTTGACTTGCGGGAGATTCCTGACAGTTGGGACTCCAAAAGTTAGCCACATAGTTACCGTAAGCTCAAAGTTTGCCATAGGTCAAATAGGTAAAATAGGTAAATCAGCTCTAAAATATGGGCCATTTGTACATCTATAGCATCGTAAGTTGTGTTTGGCTAGGCAGGCGAGGCAGTTGGACATAGCCCTCGGAATATCGGATCCAAGGCAACAAATTGGTCAGATCTCAGATGAGTTCGGGGTCGCGGCTGATGATGACGGTTCAGGACTGGCAAAGGATCAGCATGACTGGGCCCCCAAGAGTTGGTTCAAGGGAAAATCCAGAGAGGAAACCCGGGGTAAAACCCCACCAATCATAGAGCCAATCCCCTTAACCACTGGGAAGCATAAAAATGATTATTTTAGCTTTTTTGGGCCCCAGGATTAGCATTTCCAAATTGCATTCCCAGAAAGTCTGCTTTTAGATTAGCATTTCAAAATTGCATTCCCAGAAAGTCTGCTTTTAGATTAGCATTTCAAAATTGCATTCCCAGAAAGTCTGCTTTTAGAGTAGCATTTCCAAATTGCATTCCCAGAAAGTCTGCTTTTAGATTAGCATTTCAAAATAGCATTCCCAGGAAGTTTGCTTTTGGATTAGCATTTTCTGATTGCCTTCCCAGAAAGCCCCATGTTTATCTTAGACTCTTAGACTAGCAAAAGACATGCATTGACGACCAGTAGCTCCACTAATTGACTGCTCATATGTCCGATGTCCCTCAGTAGTAGCCAAGTTTTTGCCACACATCCCCCTGCTTCAGTGAGTCACTGATTGGTTACAACCTCGTCCGCGTCCGACAACTCTCAAGCATGAACCCTGAAATCAATTCACTGTGTCATTCTTATATGTGTCAGGACCTCAGCTACAATTTTTTCAAACAAAGAGAGACAATCAATTGAAACCTCAACTGTCCAAACTTGAATAAACTCAACGGTGACGACGCTAAACTAGAAACGCCACGCCAAAAAAATGCTAATTCCAAACGCTAAATCTCCAACCCCCGGGGAACGTGAAGGTCAAAAACGCTAATTCCCAACGCTAAAATCTCCAACCCCCGGGGACCGAAAGGGTCAAAAACGCTAATTCCAAACGCTAAATTTTCCAACCCCCGGGGAACGCGAAGGTCAAAAACGCTAATTCCAAACGCTAAATTGTCCAACCCCCGGGGAACGCGAAGGTCAAAAACGCTAAATTTAAAGGTTAAAAACGCTAATTTGAAGGGTCAAAAACGCTAATTTTAACGCTAATTTTGGGAGCCTGGCTCGCTCAAAATTAGCGTTTTTACCTCTGAAAACGCTAATTTTTGAGAGCCGGGCTCCCTAAAATTAGCGTTTTTACATCTAAAAACGCTAATTGGTTTGAAATCAACGCTGATAGACATGTGAACTGTATATACCAAGTTTATTCATGCAGTGGTTTCTATGTATATATATATATATATACTTTATAGATCTTTAGAGTGGATTCCAGAGGGTTTTGCACTTGGAGGATTGAAGTGAATGGTTTGAAGTCCCCCCAAGCAAATCTAAATGGTTCTTTTCCTCCGATCAGGCTGACACCCCATCAATCTCTGCTTGAAGCACGGCCAAATGCTGAAGTTCATCAGCAAGATGTAAAGTTGGCACATGTTGGCACTGTCTATTTGGTTCACTACGAAATTGGGTCCATCATATGTTTTCAACGAGCCCTGGCCATTCACACTTAGCTAATTTGAAGGGTCAAAAACGCTAATTTTAACGCTAATTTTAACGCTAATTTTGGGAGCCTGGCTCGCTCAAAATTAGCGTTTTTACCTCTGAAAACGCTAATTTTTGAGAGCCGGGCTCCCTAAAATTAGCGTTTTTACATCTAAAAACGCTAATTTTGGGAGCCGGGCCCCCTAAAAGGGAGCCTCGGCTCTCAAAAATTAGCGTTTTCAGAGGTAAAAACGCTAATTTTTAGGGAGCCAGGCTCCCAAAATTAGCGTTAAAATTAGCGTTTTTGACTTTCAAATTAGCGTTTTTAACCTTTAAATTTAGCGTTTTTGACCTTCGCGTTCCCCGGGGGTTGGACAATTTAGCGTTTGGAATTAGCGTTTTTGACCTTCGCGTTCCCCGGGGGTTGGAAAATTTAGCGTTTGGAATTAGCGTTTTTGACCCATTCGGTCCCCGGGGATTGGAGATTTTAGCGTTGGGAATTAGCGTTTTTGACGTTCACGTTCCCCGGGGGTTGGAGATTTATTTAGCGTTTGGAATTAGCGTTTTTGACCCTTTCGGTCCCCGGGTTTGGAAACTTTGCGTGCACACAGAATCAATATAGTCTACATGCGCATACATACATACATTTACATTACATTACGTTACGTTACATTTACATTTACATTTACATTTACATTCCATTACATCGCATTACCTTCACTAGTCACTAGCTAGTCTATCGCTCTATGTTTTGCCATGACTGGTTCAACCTTGTTGGAAACTGTTGATCTGATACCAATGGTGCCATGATTTGACTGACTTGGAGACCGCTGGCCGATGGAAAAATTGACTGTGAATAAGTTTTGATCTTGGCGCTAGTGATGAGTTTGGTGAACTGCAGGTGTCTTCGGATTTCCAATGGATTGATTTTCACAATGCTACATCAAAACTTTGTTTGAAAAACTGAGATTTTCACAATGCTATTTCAACAAGCTTTTTGAAAAGCAGAAAATTTCAAAAAACTATTTGAAAAGCAGAGATTTTAACAGAGCAATTTCTCAAAGCTATTTGAAAAGCAGAGATTATCGCAGAGCTATTTCTCAAAGCTATTTGAAAAGCAGAGATTTTCGCAGAGCTATTTCTCAAAGCTATTTGAAAAGCAGAGATTTTCGCAGAACTATTTCTCAAAGCTATTTGAAAAGCAGAGATTTTCGCAGAGCTATTAAAAGCAGAGATTTTCGCAGAGCTATTTCTCAACGCTATTTTAAAGGCTTAAAAACGCTAAATAATTATTTTCCATTTTCCTGTTTTTAGCCGCCATCGGCACTCTTAATAGGGGTTTTCCATAAGTTTTCCCTTAAACCAACTCCGGTACTGAAATGGGCAAAAAAGGGCCTACCAAGACTAAGACTAAGAGTTTTCCAACTACATGCTGGTGGAATGATTAATTCATCAGTTCTTATTCTTCTTCACCATCATCGTCACTGGCTTCCTCCTCCTCCTGACCCCTTGTCACAAAGATTAGCTGATTAGCTGGCTGCATCTGACAGCTTCGGATGGGCTCTACTACAATCAATCTCAAATCATGCAGAGACATCGCCGTCGAACATGACCCTGTTTCCCTAAATGATGCATCTAAATGGGCCATTTACCATCTTTAACTTATGTGAAATTTCCAGAGCTTCGGGCATGTTGGATCCAACCCTGGAACTCGCTTTCTCCAAACAAAAAAAGAGAAATTCACCGCAGGATCAGGGAATATATGCCATGCTATCCACCCGAAATATGGCTTTAAATGGCTTTAAATGGCACCTAGTACCTCTATTTTAGGGTCCTGAATTCCCCATTTGATCAATTAACTATCAATTCACTACCAATAAACTATCATTAACTATCATCAGCTATCATCAGCTATCATCAACTATAATCAGCTATCATGAACTATCATCAGCTATCATGAACTATCATCAACTATCAATTAAGTATCAGTTAACTATCAGTTAACTATCAACTAACTACCAATTCAATACAGTTAACTATCAATTCAGTATCAACTGACTACCAATTAACTATCAGTTAACTATCAATTAAGAATCAACTGACTGTCAATTAACTATCATCAACTATCAATTAAGTATCAATATGATCAATCATCAATTAAGTATCAACTGACTATCAATTAATTATCAGTTAACTATCAACCGAGTATCAACTGAGTACCAATTAACTATTAGTTAACTATCAGTTAAGTATCAGCTGACTATCAATTACCTATCAGTTGACTATCAATTAACTATCAGTTAACTATCAATTAACTATCAACTGAGTATCAGTTAACTATCAATTAACTATCAACTGAGTATCAATTAACTATCAGTTGGCTACCAATTAAGTATCAGCTGACCATCAACTAACTATCATCAACTATTAAGTAAGTATCAACTGACTATCAGTTAACTTTCCGTTAACTATCAATTAAGTACCAACTGACTATCAGAGAACTATCAGTTAACTATCAATTGACTATTAGTTAACTATCAATTAATTATCAGTTAACTACCAATTAAGTATCAACTGACTATCAATTAATTATTATTTAACTATCAATTATGTATCAACTGAGTATCAATTAACTATTAGTGAACTATCAGTTAAGTATCAGCTGACTATCAATTAACTATCAGTTGACTATCAATTGACTATCAGTTAACTATCAATTAAGTATCATAATCATCAACTATCAATTAAGTATCATCTGACTATCAATTGATTATCAGTTTACTATCAATTAAGAACCAACTGAGTATTAATAAACTATCAGTTAACTACCGATTAAGTATTACCTGACTATCAATTAACTATCAGTTGACTATCAACTAAGTATCAACTGACCATCAGCTAACTGTCATCAACTTTCAAGTAAGTATCAACTGACGATCAGTTAACTATCAATTCAGTATCAACTGACTATCCATTAACTATCAGTTGACTATCAATTGAATATCAACTGACTATTAACTATCATTAACTATCAATTAAAAACCCAATGACAATTAATTAACTATCAGTTAACTATCAGCTAACGATCAATCAAATATCAACTGACTATCAATTAAGTATTATCTATCAGTTAACTATCAATTAAGTATCAACTGATTGTCAAATAACTATCAGTTAGCTAGCAATGAAGTATCAACTGACTATAAATTAAGTATGGGTTAACTATCAGTTCAGTATCGACTAACTGTCATTTAACTATCAGTTAAATATCAAATAAGGATCAGCATCATCAACTATCAATTAAGTATCAGCTGACTACCAATGAAGTGTCAGTTGACTATCAATTCAGTATCAGTCGACTATCAATTAACTATCAATTAAGTATCAACTGACTACCATTTAAGCATCAGTTGACTACCAATTAACTATCAGTTAACTATCAAATAACTATCAATTAGGTATCAGCTGACTACCAAATAAGCATCAGTTGGCTATGAACTATCAATTAAGTATCAGCTGACTATTAATTAACAATCAGTTACCTATCAATTAAGTTAAGTATCATTATCAACTGACCATCAATTAACTATCAGTTGGCTATCAATCAAGTATTAACTGCCTACCAATTAACTATCATCAACTATCAATTGTGTATCAACTGGCTACCAATTGAGTATCAGTTACCTATCAATTCACTACAAGTTGACTACCAAATAACTACCAATAAAGTATCTGACTATCAATTAACTATCACCAACTATCAATTAAGTACCAGCTGACTATCAATTAACTATCATCAACTATCAATTAAGTACCAACTGATTACTAAGTATCATCAACTATCAATTAAGTATCAACTGACTACCAATTAATGATCATCAACTATCGACTGAGTATCAACAGACCATTAGTCAACTGTCATCAACTGTCAATTAAGTAGCAACTGACTTTTTATTAACTATCATCAAGTATCATTTCAGTATCAACTGACTATCAGTTAACTATCAGTTAAGTATCAATTAAGTATCAAATGACTGTCAATCAACTATCATCAACTATCAATTAAGTACCAACTGGCTATCAATAACTATCATCAACTATCAATCAAGTACCAACTGACTATCAATTAACTATCAGTTGACTACCAATCAAGTATCAACTGACTATCAATTAACTATCAGTTATGTATCAATTCTATCAACGGACTGTCAATTAGCTTTCATCAACTATCAATTAAGTATCAACTAACTATAAATAACTATCAGTTGACTTTCAATTTATAAGTATTATCTGACTACCAAGTAACTATCAGTTAACTATCAATTAAGTACCAACTGACTATCAATTAACTATCAGTTGGCTATCAATTGAATATCAACTGACTATAATCATCAAATATCAATTAAGTACCAACTGACTATCAATTAAATATCAGTTAACTATCAGTTAACGATCAATTAAGTATCAACTGACTATCAATTAAGTATCATTTGACTATCAATCAAGTATCAACTGACTATCAACTAACTACTCAGTTAACTATCAATTAAGTATCAACTGACCATGAACTATCATCAATTATCAATGAAGTACCAACTGACTATCAACTAAGTATCAACTGACTATCATGTAAGTATCAAGCGACTTTCAACTATCATCAACTATCAATTAAGTAACAGCTGACTACCAAGTAACAATTGGTTAACTATCAATTAAGTATCACTTGATTATTAAGTATTATCAACTATCAATTAAGTATCAACTGACTGCCAATTGAGTATCAGTTAACTATCAATTAACTATCAGCTACCTATCAATTATGTATCAACTGGCTATCAATTCACTATCATCAACTATGAATTGAGTATCAGCTGACTATCCATTAACTATCAGTTGGCTATCAATTACGTATCAACTGACTTTTTCACTATCATCAACTGTCAGTCAAGTATCAGCTGACTATCAATCAACTATCATCAACTATCAATCAAGTATCAACTGACTACCAATTCAATTAAGTATCAACTGACTATCAATTAAGTATCCATTTTTTCATTTCCCTTGAGGAACCCTGGACGTGAACGCCATGAGCGACCGCCGTCGCCAGATTCTGCGTTTGCGCCTCACGGAGATGACCAACGAGAACCGGCGCCGGGCTGGGCCGGCAGACGAGGATGCCACGATGGCGCAGGCTGCTCCAGTTTTGGAAGATGATGCCGAACTCGAGACATGGCAAGACATATACCTTGATGTTTTGGCTCGTTAGATGTTTATAGGTTGATTTTTAAGGTGATTTGTGATGATTTGTTGGTGAGAAAGGTGATGTTGTTTACTTTTTTTAGTGGATTTTCTGCAGATTTTAGGGGAGATTGGAGATTTTTGTTTACTCGTTTGGGTGTTTTTTTGGCAAATCCAAGGAAAATTTCTTGGAGGAGTGTGATCAGTGGATGTAAAGTGTGGATGATGTGGAAAAAATCCATCCCAGAGATTTTGGGATGATAGTTTTGGCACTGGCAACTGCCAAACAAAAAAGGTGCCTGCAAATTCGATGTTACGGATGAGTCCGGATGAGGCTGTTGGACCACACAGAACCTTTTGGTCCGAGTTATACCCTCCGGTAAAACTAAGAGTTTTCCAGGGAAACACCATTTGTTAATAGCTAAATCATCGTACATAGATATCATAAGTCACCAATCAGCCATTTGAAAAAATTGTCTACCGGAGGGTGATCACAGCCAAATCCCAATGATCTTGAGCAACTAGAAAGGTTTCACCAAGGGGACTGATCGCGAAAGTTCTTCAACGCGGCACCGCATTTCACCCGGGGAAAACAACGAGTTTCGCATTTCGCGGTGTCTCTTGCGACCAGTTGGAGTGCACACTGTAGATCACTGTCAGTTGTGATTGGCTTCATCAGCAGGTAAACCCATCTCAAATTGCATATACCATCTGGTTATGACTAACAGTTTGCCCTGGTATAGATGGCCCATAGAAATAGATGGTTTACTGTTCTTAGAAATGGTGATTTTCCATGGCGAAATGTTAAATAACCAGATGGTAACAATCATATCCATTTATATATATATATATATATTCATTTTCAGTCATAGCTATAAACTGAAATTGGCTATGGATGACCTATAGATGTTCACAATTCATAACCTGTGACCGACCCCAATGCAGGTCACCCGTTGGTCACCCATTGGTCACCCGTTGCCGTTGTGGCCGCAGGAACGATGCGGGTTGCCCTTGGCCCAATTGATCTGCAAAATCTGCCATGCGGAGGCCGAAAATGTGGGCTGTGCTCAGCGATGGCGGACCAATTGTTTCGTGGGAGCCATCGCAGATCGTGAAACATGGAAGAAATTCATCGCAGAATCCGACTTGGCATTTGGCGTTGCGAAATGAGAGTCGTATAGATTCGTATAGATGGAGTCGTTTTTGGAGTCGTTGTGAGTCCTGACTCATCAAAAAATCTAGCTATGAAAACTGCAATTTTGCGAAGTATGGGGTATACCAGGTATATCATGGCAATTCCCTTTGAAACAGCTGGTTTTGGGCACAGCCCGGTTGACCACAGCTCCCAGTTTGTTCTCTTCATCGCAAGCGCGCCGGGAGCTGGAAACCAGGGGGTTGGCACCATGCGCAACGTCATGGTCTTGAGCCATGGAACATCCAATTTTCCGTGGATTGTTATGGATATTTCATGATTTTCATGGCAACGTCGGCAATGTCATTAAAAACCATCTGAGACATAAAAAAATATAAAAAATTAGCATCAACACCACTAAGCGCTAGTTTGGGGCAAAAAATCATAAAAATCCAAAAGTCAAAATAGTCCAACCCTGGTCCCGTTGTGCGCTTTCCGTTGGCCTGAGATTCCCCCGCTTTAAAGGCGACTGGTTTTCACCAGGCCCACCTTAAGCCGCTTAAGCCGTCACCAACTCGTTAGTGAAACATGGACAGCTGGAAGACTTGGATAGTCATGGCTTTTTTATGGCTGATCTCCAGCAGTTTCTGGATGGTTTTTGGAGATGTCATATCTGCAGCGTATGAGCTTTCATGTGCATGATGATATTGCATAAGAATTGCCAAACTTTCTGGGGCAAAAATGGTCACTATGCGGGTTTTTCAACATACTTGGACAATCCTCTTCAAAAAGAGCCCAACCGAAATCACTAAAGTTTCATAACGTGTTTCATGACGTGTTTCATGACGCTCTTGGGCAGCAAGGGCTTGATCATTTTTCCTATCATTTCCCATCATTTCCTGGTTGGGATGTGTTGGGTCTATTCATTTGGGCCACGTCGGTAGCATTCCAGCAGCATGTTGCGTCCTTCTGTTTCCCTTTTAGAGACGGGCACGGCATGTATCTTTCAAGGACGGAGCTGTTTAGTCCCCCCCGCAGGGATTTTCCGCGCAGAGAAAAGACCAGCTGGTGCTTGAAAGATGATTTTCCCCAATGCTTGGAATGTAGATGACGAGTTTCTGAATAAACTTTCCCTGGCAAAAACAAGTAACAAATAGCATGGACAACCCCCAAAAGATCAACGATTTTCATCTGAAAAACATGAAGATATCTGATAAGTCGAATCGGTTGAGCCATGTTGATCCATCGCGTTACATCCCTCAGCTTCTGGCTCAGCATTTGTTGGGCCTTTGGGGCCGGGCACCGGAAGTTGCCGGCCATGCGGTGAGAGGGGGCTGTAAAAACGGCCAAAACATGGAGGGACAGATGACACCTGAGATGATCCAACAGATGTACCAAGCCGATCAACCAGGTCAGCTTCCACCTGAAATGCAGCAGTGGCAGCAAATGCTGCAGCAATGGCAGCAGATGGGGGTTACTGGGGCAGGGGCGGGAGCAGGGCAAGCAGAGGAAGAGGACGAAGATGCACAGAACATGGCTGAAATGAATCAAGAGAACCAGGGTCACAGCGAAGAGGAGACGCCCAACCCACCCAAGCCACCCAACCTCCCGAACCCAATGGCTGCCCTAAACCAGATAATGAGTCAGCAACAGCTTCAGATGCTTTACCAGATGCAGCAGGTTCGAGGAGCGCAGGATATGGAAGATGAGGACGATGACCAAGACGACAATGAGGAATCTCAAGAGCAATTGCAGCAGCAGTTTCAGCAGCAGATGATGCAGCAGCAATTCATGCAGCAACAGATGCAGCAGCAAATGCAGCAGCAACAGATGATGCAAGATCAGAACATGCAGCAGTTTGATCAAAACCAGCAGCCGCCGCAACAGCAATCGCCACAACAGCAACAGTTCCAGCAGCAACAGTTCCAACAACAGCAGCAACAACAACAGTTCCAACAGCCGCCACAGCAACAGTTCCAACAACAGCACCAGCCACAGTACCAACAGCAGCAGTTCCAACAACCACCGCAATACCAGCAGCAACAGTTCCAACAGCAACAGTACCAACAACAGCAGCCACAGTACCAACAGCAACAGTACAATCAATACCAGCAGCAGAACTATCCCATGCGACCTCCGCCTCCACATCCGCCACAGCCGCCTCCGCCGCAACATCGCCATCAAAGCCATCAAAATCAAGAAAATCAAAATCCCCTCACGGGTTCGCCCTACACGCCGCGCTTTTTCTACCTTTTGGTGCCTTGGATTTCTGGAGAGCAGGGCTGAGGCTTGAGGGATTTGTAAATCTGGAATTTGCAACTAGCGAACTTCCCATATTTGGGGCTTGGTTGAACCTCCCAGCCATTTTTTGCGAAGATTGCTGATCCCTTGAAAGTTGCTCCGGATCCTTTGGGCTCATTCCAATTGCACATCCCAAAACTCAGGAGAAGAGGCAGCGACTACCAGCTTGGGCTGCCAGACAGGAATTCTTGAAGTTGATGCACACTCACCAGGCGGCTGTGGTGAACATGCAGCAGCTTTTAAGACAGCCAATGATAGCCCTGAATGCGGATATCCATGCCATTTTGCTATGAAACCTGGACTTTCCGGAAGGGTCTCCGAGGTTAGCTAGTGTTGTTGGACCATCATAAGATCGGAGTTTTTCAAACAGTAGGGACGAAGGAAGATAGTGAAATGATGTTACTGTAAATGAAGATGGCACCAGAGGATAAAGAAATATAAAGAATGACCAAAAAGACATCTTTTTTCCCAGGCATTTTCCTCCCATATCACCTAGTCACTAGAGAGCCTTACAGCTGGTCTGGATGATTCAGAACAAGCTTCAGATTTCAAGGTTTGCTTCAGAGATATTCGGGAAACAGATGGAAACAACTACGTAATGTAAACCCATTTATGGTGAAACCAGTCGACTGGGGATCATGTTTCATCATGTTATATCATCCCATTTCTAGGAGTTCCAAGTATATAATTCCAATAATTCCAATAATTCCAAACCCCGCGCTGGGGATGGTTTATGATAGTTTATCCCACAATTTTCCATGACTTTTCCCCAATCATTATCTATGATTATCCTATGATCCATCCAAATATTCTCAATGGATGGCCAGGATGGCCAGGGTGACATCTCCGTGACATCTCCAGGTGCTGCTGCTGGTGGGAGAGCCTGGTTCTGGCAAGACCACCCAATTGCCACAGATCCTGTTGGATGCTGGGTATCATGTGACCCACCAGCCAGGTCAGGTGAGGGCGATTTGTTGTGCCTTGCCGCAATGCCTTGCGCCTTCTTGGACATGGGGTAGGATGGACGGCTTGGTTCATAACGGGTGAATAACGGGTGTTAGTTATGGCACTAACCTAATGATAGATACATATATAGACCATATAGACATATCATATAGACATATCATATAGACATATCATATAGACATATCATATAGACATATCATATACACATATCATATAGACATATCATATAGACATATCATATAGATACCATTTGTTAAGATGGCTGATGTTTTAAGATCTGAGTTCTGGTTGGGTTCCTGGATTTATGTACCACATGGGGAGTAACATTGCTCCTATCCCTCGGTAGCGGTTCGCGGTTCGGAGCTATGAGGATCCAGAAATCTTCCACACATAGCCGTGGAAAATCACCATTTTTAATAGGTAAACCATCTATTTCTATGGGCCATCTATACCATGGCTATGTTAAATAACCAGAAAGTATATATTAAACTTATGAAAGTCTCCCTTAAACACATGATAGAATTCTGTTATGTGAGTTCTATTCAGTTATAATTATTGTACAGTAATTAATATGATGTCCTTTAGGCGAAGCCTTGGCTTGGAATCCAAGCCCACTTCATCCCAGCCTTTTTACAAAGCCAAAAAGGTGTTCAGCCCAATCAGCTGGCCACCATCAGTGCGGCCACGCGCATTTGCGAAGAGTTGGAAGTGCAGGTGGAGTGGTTAAATGGAGGGCCAAATGGAGAATTCCATTTGCTCCATCTTCATGGAAACCTGCGGTGAACATGGGACTTCACTAATATGTCACCGCAATTTTTCTCGCCAGTGAGGGAACATGATCACGAATATGAGAATAGACCTGAATAAACTGCCATAGTTACTACCATAATAGGCCATAATAAGCCATAATAAGCCATAATAAGCCACTGGATTTGGAAAAAAATTGGGGGGGTACCCCAGTTTTCGGTGGGCGAGGCACCCCCAATCCTGTGCCGGGAGGTCGGCACCTTCGTGGGCCACGTCACGCGTTTCGAGGACACGACTCGGGAAAGAAAAAGATACCCTCTGGTAATTTAACATAGCTATGGAAAATCACCACTTTTTAATGGGAAAATCCACTATAAATGGTGATTTTCCATAGCTATGTTAAATTACCAGAGGGTAGTAAGATCCAATCTTATAAAATTTGTGATCACTGATGATAACTTAAGTATACTTAAGTACTTGACCTATCTTTTTGTGGCTTAACTGATGAACTCCGTAAAAGAAGGTTTACTATATCTTACATCGATGATTGACACAGTTACAGCTTACTATATTTTTTTTATCAATTTTTATCATTCATCGACACTAAAACAACTTACTACTTGAACATGCAACATGACATGTCTTGCCATATATTAATGTTTGACATTTATTGACATAATATCATAAATATCATATATTAATTGACATTAATTGACATGTCTTGCCACAACAATGACAAGATTTCACCTCCAAATCCCATGGTTTAACTGGGTTTTCAGGACCGCACTTCGGGTGATACCTTGCTTCGCTTCATGACGGATGAGGCGCTCTTCCGGGAAGCCCTAGAGGATCCCTTGCTGGAACGCTATAGCGTCATCATCTTGGATGAGGCCGGGAACGCGACTATGACTGGTTGGTGCTTTGGAACATGTTTATTTTCCCAGATATTGGGAATAGTCCCAACTGACGAAGTCATATTTTTCAGAGGGGTAGGTATACCACAAACCAGATGACTATGACTTCTCAAAAACAGTGGGTTTTTCTGCGGCGCTTTGATTTGTTTGTTTCATGGAGAAACCATTGGATGGGGAAAAGATGTGAACGTTGGGAAGGTGTTTTGTTTTGAATGATGTTTGAAATTATTTTCCAGGAAATGCAGGAGCTTTGAGATGGTATATGATGATATATTATGTGCCCATTTGATGATATATGATGATATATTATGTGCCCATGTTGCAGGGTAAAACATCACTTGAAATGGTAGGGAAAGAGTGGTTAGCCTGGAGACATTGAGGTGATGAGATCAGGATATACACATATACATATCATATACATATATATATATAATCCAACTTACCTACTTGTAGGTCGTCATCATTTTATGAATGTTTGTTTGGTGCGCTTGCGCCCCACCAACTATGGCTGACACATGCTGGCACCAATGCTGGGACGGTTGTATCCCAATGGTCACCCAGCTGAATCATCTATAGATGCTAGAGTTGCAGTATACATGTCATATTATGATAATGAGTTCATCATGTCATCATATTTTCAATATAGTTTTACATTAATGTTAATATTAAATATGTTAATCCTTTTTCTTGACATATTTATTTAGAGAGTTCCTTAGCCATCAATTCATGATGACAGGAATTTCACACTTTCCATTGATGTCAGCCAAGTTTTCCATTGATGTCACCGGCTCTGCAGGCCCAACAAAGGACCTGCGAGATGGACGTTCTCGTAGGCATTTTGAAGATGGTGATGCAAAGAAGACAGGAATTGAAGGTGCTACTCCTGTCTTCTTCTGAGGAGAAAAAACTTCAGGCACATTTCGAGGCTGCTCCTTTGTTGAAGGTGCCCAATCACACCTTTCCAGTGGAAGTTTTCCATGCACAAGATGCGGAAAGAGATTACTTGAAGGCCGCTGTAAGGACCACAATTCAAATCCACACCTCAGAACCTGATGGTGACATCCTTCTCTTTTTACCCCATGAGGATGAGATTGACTTGGCGTGTCAGATGTTACGCAAGGAGGCGGTTCACATCAGTCATACCCTGGTCGTGCGTGCCATCTATGTGGGTTTGCCCTTGATGGATTTGCAACAGGCCTTCGAACCTGCACCCGCGGGTCGCATGGGCGGGGGGAAGCCTTCCCGGAAGGTCGTGGTGGCCTCAAATATTGCCGAAACTTCGCTATGCATCGATCAGATTGTGTATGTCATTGACACCGGCCTGGCGAAACAAAGGGCATACAACCCCAGGAGATGAGTGGGATGGGATCAGTTCTGGGATCAGTTCTCTGATGTTGGGGTGATTTGGGTGATGCAATTCATGGTGATATATCGTGATGTTGATTTATATCATATTATATCTTACTTGAAAACGGTTGGAATTTTATGACATGGACTGAGCTTGACAATGTCCGGGACTTTGATGCCACGGCCATGATGCTGAGAAAACAGATCCAGGGTCTGAAGTAGCCCAGTACCCGCCTTCGATGGGGAGAACAAACTGCTGTACCTTTCAGCTTGGTCCCGGGGGGGAGAAGCATCGTAATTTTTAATCATTTTCATGAATTATTACTGTTATCATTATTACTGTTATTATTATTAATTATGGATTATTATGTGTTTTTGGTGTTGGTTTTTATTGATTATGATGGAATGCCCGGAGGGGTACTGAAACATGACTTTCCGGACGGTCCCCCAGCTATAGTGCGATGAATTGTCTCTCATCTAGTTTGGGCTTTTCCTATGATTTCCCTCGGTTTTCCCTCTGTTTATAGGGGGATTTCCATAGATTTTCCATGTTACCCCCCAAATTCGCCCCTGCCAACATCACCAGGACCCGTATCGAAGCCCAGATGGTCACCCCCATTTCCTACGACTCCGCCCTCCTTCGCGCGCGCTTGGCGGGACGGCAGCAGCCGGGGAAATGCTTCAGGTTGTATCCGGAGAAGGCGAAGAATGATTGGGCACCAATGATTCAGCCGGAGATTAAGTTTCTCGGATTTCTTTTTGAAGGATTTTGTGGTGTTTGAGATCTTGTAAAAAAGGATGTCAAAAAGGGGGGTTGACTACCAACCTGTTGATCAGCAAGAATTTCTTGAGAACATTGAAGTGCGGAGATTCGTTTTGTTTCTTGAATCTTGGATTGACAAGGCATTGACTAGCATTTTTTGAGACCCCGGTCAGTTGGTATCACACGGAATCAAACCTAATGTTCTGCAATGTCACATTGCACATAGTTGGAGCCTTGACTCATCCCGGGCCTGCAGTGGCTCCGCCAGGTTTGCGCCAGGTTTTAAGCTTTTGGCCAGGTTTGATGGGATGTAAACCACCCAAGAAATCCCAAGATGTCACCATGGCGCCATAGTATGGGACCGAGGAGATCGAATCTCACCACCATGGTCCTGATGTTGAAACTTGGAGCCAAAAATTGCTATTGATACTGTAGAGAATCCAGATGAAAAGCCATGGAAAGCATTGAAACTCCATAAAACTCCCATGACAAATCCATGGTTAGTGAAGTTAAGCCGGTTCAACATGTGGGATGTGGGCCTGGAAATCAAGGATCAAAGATTTGATCCATTGAAACACCAGAAAACGGCTGATTGGACTCTAGTGGTTTTATCATTAAAAAATCAAATAGGGGGACCCATTTGAAACCTTGAAGATCATCCAACGATCATCCGACCAGCAAAAACCAGCCATCATCCAACTATCATCCAGATGATCTCCTCCGAATTTCAAACGCGCTGAGGAAACGTTTGGGCTTTGATGACGTGGTCCATTTTGATTTCGTGGACCCTCCTCCTCCGGAGGCGCCGCCAAGAAATTTTTTCGTGTAAAACTTGTGCAAAATCCCAGATATGTGTGGCTAATTCCGAAGATCTCTAGGGGATAAACACATATAAATTATAAAGACATATTAAAACACATATAAAAACCATAGAGCAGTGGTTTTCCCCCATATTTTCACAGGCCGCCATATTGCGTGTAGTGGTTTTGAACCCAGGCTCTGATGAGAGCCCTGCAGAGTCTGAACTATTTGGGATGTCTCTTGACTTCTCGGCTGGCGGATGCTGATTATGTGAGGAAAGGGATGATTTATGGTGATTTTTGTTGGTGATTAGTCAATGGTTAGTTGGGCGATTAGTTGGGCTAATATCAGCATATGATCGGGATGATTACAGTAATTAATTAGTCATGATTATCCTCTGGTAAAGATGATTACATAAATTACCCTTGATCCATACATCCATTTACCAAGCGATACATCCATGGATATACATGTTTTATCTGTCCCTTCCATCCATCCATACATCCATTTACCATGTTAGTCATGATTACCCTCTGGTGAACAAATAAAACTAACAGTTTGCTATTGAAAATGGCCATAGAAATAGTGGATTTACCCATAAATAGCATGGTGATTTCCCATAGTTATGTGGCTGTTTACCAGAGGGTGATTAGTCAATGATTAGTTGGGCTATGTTGTGCTAATATCAGCATATGATTGGTTATTTTCATCACTATGGTGATTAGTCACTGCATATTTTTCATTGTAGGGGTGATTTATTGGTTATTTTCATGACTATGGTGATTAGTCACTACATGGGCTGCAGGATCTAAACATATCAAGCTACGCCGTGCGTAGCGGCGTAGCTTGGAATCTGTTTGCCGCTTGCTTCACAGGTGATCCTGAAGCCCACTGGTTGACAGTCCATGGCTACTGGTTGGTTATACAACATTTCCCGCCCAAAATATGGTTATTTGAAGGGGTGTACCGGTATACCGGAGATCAGATCAAGTTGACTAATCATGACTAAACACGAAAAAAATCACCATAAATCATCCCTTGCCTAATCCTCCAATTTTTCTCAGCATCCATGTTTTCCATGTTTCGTGCAATCTTCCTGAGGCATTGATGACAATGGAAATATCACAGAGGCAGGACACCAAGCTAGTCGTCTGCCCGTGGACCCACAGATCGCCAAGATGTTGCTGGAAGCCCCAAAGCATCGCTGCAGTACCTTCGCATCGCCGATCCTTCAGGATGGAGCTGGATGGAGGTCAGTGGAATATGTGACTAATATGTGGAATGTGAGCAGGATATAGGAACAGCTGGGGTGACATGTTGAAATCATGTTGAAATCATGTTGAGATCATGTTGAAACCTTTGGACTTTGAGCTGAGAAGTGAGAAGCGCTGAGGAATAAGATTTGTTTAGATCAATAAATTTGCTGAGGTTGGGCTTCCTTCGTTCGCATCTAGGAACTATGATTTTTACCGCATGTCATTGCGGTGAATAATCTCCACATTCTCCACATTCTCCAAAGGTCAGCTATGACAATACGGCAATACGGTTTTGGTTCAGTTGGAAGTTGTAAATGAACCTCCCACTTACCAGAGTCGCAGTTCGGGAACCAAAGTTCAATTGATTCAATTATATTCAATTGTAATTTGCCATGGAGTCGGGTCAAAGTTGATCATGGCAATATTGGAGGCTCATGCTATGAATTCAATCACAACATCGATGCGACATCTTGGGACTAGAATTCTTTTGGAACACATTGCTGATAAACATCAATACACGCCAATAAATCTTGATAAACATGAACAATCATCAAAAATCATCAATAAACAATAGTCAACATTAACATTAACATTGCTAAACCCCCATTACCACTTGGGAAATTAACGTGTTGCCATGGTATAGATGTCAATGTTGTATACACGTTTTGCCCGTTAAAATCGTTGTTTTCCATAGACATGTTAGAATTGTTAGATTACCGGAGGGTATATCCCCATTAACAACCAGAAAACCCATTGCTTCCCAATTTTTTGGTTAATTATAGTCACCCCCAAAATGATCGATGTAACACTTATCATTTATCACGAGGATTGGATTGTACTTTTCTATCCTTTTTGGGAGTTGCGATAAACCGTTCGTTGATGTTCCCAGCGAACGATTGGGGATTTTTCAGCGATTTCCCAGGTGATTTCCTGGGATCATCTCCATCTGGGTAAATTATACAAGGACCTCACTGTGACCGCACTGACTAATCATTAGATTCATTAGTTTTTAATAGGGGAATCATATGGAATCATCCCATGGCGGTGAGTGAATTACCCTCTGGTAAACAGCCACATAGCTATGGAAAATCACCATTTTCAATGGGAACATCCACTATTTCTCTGGCCATTTTCAATAGCAAACTGTTGACATAACCAGAGGGTATGATAATTTACCCAGATCTATTGGTCAAATCCCCAGGAAATCTCATCCGCATAGATCCTTCTGTAAACCGCCGAGGTAACGAGGCCTTGTCCATCGCCGCTATGTTGGTCTCGCTGCCTGTGTGGCTGCGGCCCAAGGATGCCTTTCGGGCGGCCAACGAAGCCAAGGCACGATTCGCACATATGGATGGGGATCACCTCACGTTGCTCAATGTCACTTGGTGATACTTGGTGACTTGGAGGGCGAGCTAAATTAAAATTGGAGAATTCGGATGAATTCGGCATGGCCATGGCATAGCCTCTGGTCATGTTTCACATAGCTGTTGAAAATCTATGTTTAATGGGTAAATAAATAAATAGCATTAAATAACTATATATATACATATTATAATTATATATAATATCCATATAGAATGACCATATTTACGATAGCAAACTGTTAGTTTACCAGAGAGTATGGTTCCTGGCTGGGATGGATTTTTGGACTAACATAGCAATGGAAAATCACCATTTTAATGGGACCATAGCACATGATATTTGGCCCATAAAAACATAGCTATGCAACAAATTACCAGAGAGTAAGTGCTTGTTGAACATGTGAATGTTGAGGTTTCATTGGTTGGTGGGTGAGCTTCTATAGCTTATTTGGATCTCATTCAAAGATCATACCAAGCAAGGTGAATTTATGTCGCAAGGGTACGCATCTTTGTTTTTCAACATGCACTCAGATGGCCATTGATTCGCCATTTGGTTTGCGGTTCCAAAAATCTGAGGTGTTCCATGCCTACAAGCAACAGATCCAAGACGGCCGCTTGCAAGTGAAAAGTCAAGACGCCTCTTCCCCCGTGTGAACTTTATTGATTTGGCAGGATCCATTCGGTTTTATTTTCTCCTAAAGATGGCTAGTACAGTGCTACAGTAGTACAGTGCTAGTACGATTAATCAGCATTGCTGCTGTTCAGATTCTCCTCTATCATCACCTAGTTTCCCAATGCCCATGCCTGAGTAATAATGTGATTGTGCCCTGGTCCACGATTGTCATTTCTTATCCAAGGATATCCAAGGCATTTGTTTCACATGAAATCAATGAAGCACTTAAGTTGACATCAATGAAGTTGACATGGTTGCAAATCCACATTCAAGAGCCCCGAACCGATTTGTCGTGTTCGTCCTTTTTCAATCACCAAGTTGTTCCAATTTTTCCGATTCTCCATGAATCTGACTTTCAGCATCTTTCAGCCCCTCGTCCATGGAATTCCATGGGGTCCTCGGCCATAGCGAGGTCATGATGCCAGTCGCTTCTGTGCTGAGAATTTCATCTCGATTCGGGCCATGAGACAAGCAGAGGTGGCACGTGATAGCTTGAAACTCATCATGGAGAGCATTGGTTTGCAGATGATCAGCACCGACTTTCAGGAGTGAAACGAGTGAAACGAGTGAAACGAATGTCCGACGCAAAATGGATCATGACCAACATGGAATTATGAATTCAAGTCAATTTTGAGTGTTTGAAGTCTGGGCCCCTTGCTTTTTTCCGAACGCGTAGCAAGGGTTCCCGTTTCACTCTGGGAGTCTGGGGGTTGAGGGTGTGTTCGCTCGACCTTGCGTTTGCGTCCGCAACCGTTCGCAACCGTCCGCAACCGTCCGCAAGTGTCTGCGTGAGGGCCGTCTGGCCGTGCCTTTAGAGAGAGCTACAAAAGTGGTCACTTGCGGTGGTTTCAAACGTGGTGTCGCCTCGTTTCGCGTGGCAGGCGTGGCACTGTGTGACATTTCAACATGTTTGATAACGTGTCGAAAGTCGTTTTGTGTCGCAAGCGCAAAATTTTCACGTCGTTTTCAAAATTCAAAAGATTAATTGCATGTGTCGTGGCAGGCGCAGCACTTCAGACGTGTCGTGTTGCATGTTCTTTGCGAATTACATTGTCAGGGCTGTGTGAAGTGGTGACAGGGTGCAAATTCCGTGCTGAAAATTGACGGAAGCCCCGCACGAAACATCGATTTCACTAGCAATTTGAGGTTCATGAGAAAACTCGTAGGAGAACGACGATTTTGAAGCTACAAAGTGTTGAGGACGTCTCTCACGAAATGCTCGTTTTGAGGGTCCAACATGTCCCGTCTCGATTCTTTGGTTTTCTTGTGACATCGCCGTGTCTATGGGGGACGACACTTTAGACTCCACACTTTGCACTTTACACTTTACACTTTGCACTCCACACTCTACACTTTACACTTTACACTCCACACTCTACACTCTACACTTTACACTTTACACTTCACACTCCACACTCTACAATTTACACTCCGCACTCCATATTTTACACTTTAATTCGCACTTTACACTTCACAATGCACACTTTACACTTTACACTCCACACTTTACACTCAACACTCCACACTTTACACTCTACCTGTACGCTTTAAACTACACACTTTACACGCCACACTACATTTTGCACTCTACACTCCACAGTCCACACTTGACACTTTACGTTTTAAACTCCGCACTCCACACTTTGCACTCTACACTTGACACGTTACAGTCCACATTCCAGACTTTACACTCCACACTCTACACTTTACAGTTTACACTCCACACTTTGCACTTTACACTCCACACTCCACACTTTACACTCCACACTTCGCACTTTACACTTTACATTCCCCACTTTACACTTTACACTTCGCACTCCACACTTTACACTTTACACTTTACACACCGCACTTCGCACTTTACACTCCACAATCCCCACTTCACACTCTACACACTACATTTCCCAGTAAACACTCCACTTTCTTCACACTCTGTGCTTTGCACTCCACCCCGTTCCACATTCACAGTCTACAATGCACTTGTACAGTAACAGGGGGAAAATGTACAAGACTGTTCAAATAACTTGTTTCACAAAAGTGCGCTACGCAGCTATACGCAACTGCATTTGGGTTCGTGGGCCGCATCTTGTTTAAAAAATAACGCTTGGATCATGTGTGTTTTTTTTGTTGTTTTCTTTCCGGCATTTTTCCCACCAAACTGCGGCATACCCTGGCAGGATAAGGAGTATTATCCCAACATTCGCAGATGTTTGATCTCCGGCTTCTTCATGCAGGTAGCATGTTTGGAAAGTGAGAAGCGAGGTGCCTACAGCATGCTGCGCGAGGGCCAGGACGCTGGAACTGAGCTGAGAGTGCTGGGGCATGCTGGGGCAATGAGGTTTGAACCGTGAATGGTTCGAAGAAATGGGAATACCCTCCGGGAATCTAACATGGCTGGGAAATCCCCCCTCTTTATAGAAGTTTTAACGGGAAAATCATCTATAAATCAGGGGTTTTCCAGGGCTATGTTTGATTAACAGAGGGTAGATTCGGTAAAAACTATGGACATAATGCACTCATACATATATTAATTATATAATGATATATTTTTATATATGTTCTGTTCCCCGTGGATGTTCAAATTTACCGATCATATAAATTTCAACCACTGATTTTTCCGAGTGGTTTGTAGCTTGGTAGTTTCGAATCGCCCAGGAAGTGATCCTCCATCCTTCCACATCTTTGGGACATCGACCGGAGTGGCTGGTGTTTCATGAGCTGTCGCTCTCCTCCAAACTCTTCATCAAGACAGGTCCGATTTTTATGGTGAGATGGGCTGAGGCTTCAACACTGGGGATTTTGAGAGAGGGGGAGAGACTTAGCCATTCCGATCGATTTGCAAAACATCAAGAGAACAAGAAAAATCATGGCATTTCAACCCGCCCTTGTCCTTCAATCCTTTAATATCTTTTAGATTCTTTTAATACATTCCAATACCAATTCAACGTGAGCCATCTCAAAGGTCGCTGGAACTCTGAGTTTTCTTAGCGTTTTTGTGGAGTTGCACGGTTTTTTGGGTCACCGTTGGCCATCATCGCCGGATATCGCCGGTGACAGGGACGCAAATCCGCCCCGAATGGCTCCTGGATATCGCTCCCAAGGGCTACTTCGATGCCGCCAAGATCTCTGAGAAAAGCTCGGCGCGGAGCCGCTTGGATCGAGTTCTGACACGGCGCTTCTCACAAGATGGTCCTTGAAGCTGAAACAGCCAATTCTGTAGATTGGATTGGGGGAATAGGTGGGACGTTCAGGATTTCATGTACGGATTTGAGGCCCCTTGAGATGAGATCGATTGCGTCATGTCAGCTTTTCTCGCGTACTTGAGCTGTTGGAATTGTATTTTATGTGATTTTTATATGTTGTTTTAAATAACATTTCCAGTTTCTGACCATCAGAAAGCACCTGTACTGGCTCGAAAGACTGGTGCCGTCGGGTATGATGATCTCCATGGGAAAACCGTAGAGGCCCGATAACTCTGCGCAGAGAAAACACGTTGATCAGCTGCTGGGATTTTAGCACCGCTCGTGTTTTATCAGACAAGTGGCCGACTTAGATAGCAAAATAGAATCAGATGTAAGGTGCAGGTTGGGTTGCAATGGATGTCCCTTCAGCTTTCTCGGCCTTTCCTTTGGAGAATGAATCGCAACAGGACTTTTGGCTCCAGCTGCTGCAAAAATCATCAAAAATCTTTATTACTTCGCCGCTGGAACCATGATGTGCAGTCCTTCCAGTTGTGCCAGCCCGAGCGTGAACTTAAGCGCGGAATCTAGCCCATCGCTCAGAGATGCCTTTAAGGAGTTCCCAAAGCCGCGGCACAAAAGGGGCAATTGCTGCAAGTCTTATGGCTCCAAGGCAAGAGGCCACAACAAGGACAGGCTGTAAGAATGTGTAAGAATGACACTTCAGGATTTTGGCATGAAACACTCATGAGACACAATGAGACCTGCGACAAAGTCATCTAAAATCACGCTGCCACAAGATGTGATAGAGAAAAAATGAGACGCACAGGGAGGTGGCAAAGTTGCACCAAGAAAGTTATTATATTTTTGGATATTTTTGGAATCACACGTCGCATACATCATAGAACTCACCAAGCGATAGAGTTCATATGTTTACCTGCTTGTGGTTTCAATAGTACCATCTTTTTTCCAACCCTACCTAGGTCCTAATGATACCAAGTAATTTGATTATGTTGATGGGTTGAAGCTGCCAAGCAGGTTTTGTAACCACACCTATATTCTGCGTATATATATAATTATATAATGTAGATTCGTCATATATTGTACAGTGTAATGGTAAGCTAATACTCTCCGCATTTATGTTGAAACTGGCTCTATATATATAATTATATTATATATATATATTATACAGTACACACTTATGTCATCTCTCTCTCTCTATATGTATATATATATATATATGAGCCACCGTAAAAACCCCGGCAATACTAAATATGTATTGGACGGACATTGGTTTATGGAAATGGATGGAAATTGTTAAAAACACACGGTAAGCGATGGGACCTTCCCAAATTAGCGATACCCCTTTTCAAGGTTATGTCTTTTTATTTCTCTTATATCCACATTAGCGATACCCAAATTGGACGTTGATTTCTGTGAATTATATATTTAAAGACGTAGCAGTTTCCTGCAAGCGATACCCCCCAAGTTTACCATATATCATTATTGTACAAACGTGTGGTAAGCGATGGGACCTTCCCAAATTTGTGGATGTCCTTTCCCTGAACCTAGGGTTTTCGAGATTGCTCATATATATCATGTATATATATATATCATACATACATACATGCACGCACACACACATATATATAATTATACATCGACATCGTCAGTCTGTCCCTTCGACTGGAAGGACATGAAAGACTTCCTGATTTGCACGTCCATCAACCCCTGGAAGCTGCAGAATGAGATTGAGAAGCGGAGGATGCTCGAGGACACAAACTGATATCTTTGGTGCGATTGAACATCCAACAATCCCGCAAACAAGGCTTTAAGATTTCACCTCCCAAAATGGTGATTTAACGGGATTTGATAGGATTTCACCTGCCAAAATGGTGATTTAGATTTTTCTGTTGTGATTCAAAGGTTGTTTCGTGATTGAACGAAACCAATGGGATTTTCCCTCCGGTCCTCAGAAACGTGGCCTGAAACATCCCGGAACTTCATGGAGGATTTTCCAGCAAGCCATGTTTGATTTCAGCACTTGTATGAATGCTTTGGGTGACCTCCCACTCATTTGGATAATGCCCTCTGGTAAATTAACATAGACCCTGAAAATCACCAATTTATAGTGGAAACTAGTCTTCCAACCCCTGTCTGCCAGGGTCTATGTTAATTTACTGGAGGGTAATTTATTTATCTACTTATTTATTTATTGATTTGGTTTGATATGATTTGATTTATTGATTGATTGATTATTTTGACCCCTCTATTGAATTTACAATTTTCTGTACTTTGGTATAGTGGCTGGGTCCCCCAACAGAGACCCAAGTTTTTTGGCCTTGACAGGAGCTCATGAACGATCCGGTCACGGTCCCAACTGAACCAAAGCCAGGAAAGTCGCAGAATCTGCGAGAAATCGTGAGCCTTTGAGCCATCTGATGCCGTGTGTTCCGAAAGCATATCTAGATCCTCTAAGTCCTAAGTTGCCAGAAACAAGATGCAGCATATAGAAACCCGAATGCAGTCACGTAAAACACTCTTGTGAAACAAGTTAGTTGAACAGTCTTGTATTTTCCCCCCTGTTACGTATCAGTGCGCTGTAGACACTGTGGAATGTGGAAGAGGGTGTGGAGTGTGAAGAAAGTGGAGTGTTGAGTGGGGAATGTAGTGTGTAGAGTGTGAAGTGGGGATTGTGGAGTGTAGAGTGTGCAGTGCCAAGTGTAAAGTGTGGAGCGTAGAGTGTGGAGTGAAAAGTGTAACGTGTAAAGTGTGGACTGTAGAGTGGGGAGTGTAAAGTGTAGAGTGTGGAGTGCAAAGTGTGAAGTGTGAAGTGTAAAGTGTGGAGAGTAAAGTGTAAAGTGTAGAGTGTGGAGTGCAGAGTGCAGAGTGTGGAGTGTAACGTGTGGAGTGTAAAGTGTAAGGTGTTAAGTGTAAAGTGTGGAGTGTAAAGTGTAAAATGTTGAGTGCAAAGGGTAAAATATGGAGTGTGGAGTGTAAGGTGTAAAGTGTCGAGTGTAATGTCTAAAATGTAAAGTGTGGAGTGTAAAGTGTAGAGTGTGGAGTGCAGAGTGCAGAGTGTGGAGTGTAACGTGTGGAGTGTAAAGTGTAAGGTGTTAAGTGTAAAGCGTGGAGTGTAAAGTGTAGAGTGTAAAGTGTAGAGTGTGGAGTGCGGAGTGTGAAGTGTAGAATGTCGAGTGGGGAGTGTAAAGTGTAGAGTGTCAAGTCTAAAGTGTAAAGTGTTAAGTGTAAAGTGTAGAGTGTAGAGTGCCGAGTGTAAAGTGTAAAGTCTAAAATGTACAGTGTGGAGTGTAAAGTGTAGAGTGTGGAGTGCGGAGTGTAAGGTGTAAAGTGTGCAGTGTAAAGTGTGAAGTGTGGAGTGTAGACTGTTGAGTGTGGAGTGTAAAGGGTAAAGTGCAAAGTCTAAAGTGCACAGTGTGGAGTCTAAAGTGTGGAGTGTAAAGTGTAACGTGTAAAGTGTTGAGTGTAGAGTGTGGAGTGCAAAGTGTAGAGTGTCAAGTGTAAAATGTGGAGTGTAGAGTGTGGAGTGTACAGTGTGGAGTGTAGAATGTAAAGTGTGTGGTTTAAAGTGTGGAGTGTAAAGTGTAGAGTGTGTAGTGTGGAGTGCAGAGTGTGGAGTGTAAAGTGTAGCAAAGTGTAAAGTGTAAAGTGCGGAGTGTAAAGTGTAAAGTGTGGAGTGTAAAGTGTGGAGTGTAAAGTGAAAAGTGTGGAGTGCAAAGTGTAAAGTGCAAAGTGCGGAGTGTAAAGTGTGGAGTGTGAAGTGTATAGTGTGCAGTGTAAAGTGTGGAGTGTAAAGTGGAAAGTGTGGAGTGTAAAGTGTAAAGTGCAAAGTGTAAAGTGCAAAGTGTAAAGTGTAAAGTGCGGAGTGTAAAGTGTGGAGTGTAAAGTGTATAGTGTGCAGTGTAAAGTGTGGAGTGTAAAGTGTGGAGTGTAAAGTGAAAAGTGTGGGGTGCAAAGTGTAAAGTGTAAAGTGCGGAGTGTAAAGTAAAGTGTAAAGTGTGGAGTGTAAAGTGTAAAGTGCAAAGTGTAAAGTGTAAAGTGCGGAGTGTAAAGTGTAAAGTGTGGAGTGTAAAGTGTATAGTGTGCAGTGTAAAGTGTGGAGTGTAAAGTGTGGAGTGTAAAGTGAAAAGTGTGGAGTGCAAAGTGTAAAGTGTAAAGTGCGGAGTGTAAAGTGTAAAGTGTGGAGTGTAAAGTGTAACGTGTAATGTGCTGCCCTCGCCACGAAAAATGCAGGTCATCTTCTGGAAACCTCGCAAAAGTATTGCGCCCGTCACACACAACGACTTTCAACACTTTTCCAGAGACGTGAAAATGTCACGAAGCGCCACGTCTGCCACGCAAAACAACATTGGACCAATATTGGGCCTGTTTGAAAACCTTCGAACATGATAGGTTTTGCACCCATAGACATGGCGAAGCTACAAGAAAGCCAGGGCATGAAGACGAGACATGTTGGAAGCTCAAAACGAGCGTTTCGTGTGAGACTTCGTCACATGTTCATGCTTTGTAGCTGCAAAATCGTCATTTTCCTAGGAGTTGTCTTATGAACCTCAAACGTTGCTACCTCAAAATCGATGTTTCGTGCGAGGCTTCCGTCAATTTTCAGCACGTCTTACAAAATGCCACGCCTGCCACGGAGTTTGCATGTTGTCACCATTGGACGCAGCCCTGACAATGCGATTCGCAAAAACACGCAACACGACACGTCTAAAGTGTTGCGCGTGCCACGCAAAATGACGATGGACACATCCAAAGTGCTGCGCCTGCCACGCAATGCGATACGTCTGAAGTGCTGCGGCTGCAACGCAAAGTGACGCTGGTGGCCTCCATAGTAGTTTCAGTCAATCTGGTGTGACGAACCTGCCCATATAGTCAGAAGGCCTCCAAAGTGCTGCGCTTGCCACGAAAAATGCAACTCATCTTCTGAAAACGACGCAAAAGTATTGTGCCTGCCACACAAAACGATCTTCGACACATTATGAAACATGTAGAAATGTCACAAAGTGCCACGCCTGGCACGCAAAACGAACCGATGCGACGTTTGGAACTCCCAAAAGTGACCACTTTAGCAGAACTTACCATAGGCACGGCCATACGGCCCTCACGCGGACGGTCGTGGACAGGTGCGCATGGTTGTGAGCGGTTGCGCAACGTCTAGGGAACACCGCCTCAACCCCCAAACCCTCAGAGTGAAACGGGAACCCTTGTTTTTTTTTTAATGTGTTTCACCATGATTTTGGCAATTTAACAATTTTGGGGCGGTAATTATTCAGAAGGCCTAGGTGTATGCAAAAACACTGCCATCAGCCATTGATCCTTCTCTGATTTGAGGTATCGGATACTTTGTTGGAACAAGATGTGTCACACATGGTTTGGCAGGAAGGGAATGGTGCTGTTCAGCAGTTAATAGCAGTTACCTCCTTCCGACCTTGCGTAGTTCGACACAGCAGCCACATCAAGGCTGGTGCGTGGACAGGTTTCCGCGCAGCTGGTGGGCCAAATCCTCGGGCTGGAGGTCCTCCTTGCTCAACCTGCGCCAGAAAACCTGGCAAAAATCACAACATTAACACCAAATTCTGCAGCGGTACACGTGAGATGTGTGAGGTGAGGGCTCAAAGAAGGTGATGTTTTTTTTTTGGTGGGAAAAAATGGAATATAGTTGGTGAACATGGGTATTTGATGTTATTTGTCTGTTTCAGCCACATCTTTCCGCTTGAAATTTGGCAAGATAACGGATAACGGTTCATTGATTGGGCATGACTCAAGTTTGGAAACTTAAACCCATGGGAGTGTGATGCACCTAGTTCGTTGTTTTTGTGCCATTTTTTGCGACAAATCTGCGGCTTTTGTGGGTTTTTTGAGCCATGCCTAATCAAAGATTGGATTCTGACACCCAGAAGGCTTGAGGAATTCCGATCCAAACAGTGCATCCGATGCGGCGTCGCCATAGTTTTTGACAACGGGAATTTTTCACGGGCGCCATAAGGAAGGCCTGGGCCATAAAAAACCTCCATTTTTGGCATCAAAAAAAAAAATGTTCCTTAAAAAACTGGTGATTTCTGAGCAACTGAAAAATGGCGAGCGAAGCTGAGATGCACAGGAGATCCAGTTTGATTCCGGTTCGGAGCAGCTGTGATCACTCCGCAGTTTTTCAGGGCAACCCGTCGTTCTTGGCACTGCCAACACCCAAAAACAAAGACCCGACGACCCGATGATTGGGACAGCCCCTAATAAATTTGGAAACGGAGTCTAGAAATAATATGAAAGAACTCATTTACCACAGTGATCCATCACTAGATAATAATATAAGAGATGTTGAGAGGGTGTAAGGCACTGCAGCTGGTGCAATGGACCTTGGATCTCTTTCGCAATTGCATGGGCATTCTGATGGGCCAAGCCTGTTTATTATACATGTTTTACAATGCTTTATAGCAACCCCAAACTAGATAGAACAGGCGGAAAATGTGGGAAACCTCAAATCTGAAGCAAATATCATCTCTATGGAAACGCCTTTCTGGGTGCTTTACAGTAATTCATGTTGATTCTATGCCATGGATGATTTCAGAGTCGTTCATTCCCGAGGATTTTGGGTGAAAATGTGTAGCGGCTGCCCTGCTGCCGGCACGAGAAATCTTTAACTGCGATGTACGGCGCAGAGTGGTCAATAGATCATAATTGATCTATATGTACATGTGAACTATGTGAACTCATGGATTTATGATGTTTATGGTACCTACAGATGACACCTTTGTGATATTTTGAGTAGATGTGTTCCCAGCTGATAGGCACTTACAACAAGCTTGTATGATTTCAAAGGTTGTGAGAGTTGAAGGGATATTCGTAGATATTTCTTTGCTCCATGCGCAGCACAACAATTCATAGGTTTGAATCTTGTTGAACTATAATGACCTCACTATGACGTCACTGTAATGATGGTTCAAACATGGTGAATTATCCCCAAATGGCCGCACGTTTCAGCTATATTCCGGTGAGTGAATTTAATTTAGCCAGATTGCAAAACAAATGAGTTCATTGAGTTCAGAATTCTTTTTCGAAACATAGCCAAGCTTCGACGGAAAAAGAAGGTGTCCATAGGTGTCCAGGTTTGATGGCAGAGCAGCATGCAGCAGCCGTGAGCTGAATTTTCCCCTTGGCTTTCTATGTTTTTTTTTTTATTTAAGGGAAAGGCCCACAGAAAACACCCAAATTTGGTGGCTTATCATCATGTTTACCATTGATCGCCAGACAAGGGCGCACCAGGTATATATAGGATAGCCATATTATGGATAGGCCACTCCTGGACATAGCCATTTACCACACCTCACAGCCATCTCATCGCAGATGATCTCGGGTCGTTTCCCTAAACGGCATACACGATCTAAAACTGAACGATGACCCTAGTTCCTCAAAACACTTCATCAAAAACAATGCAATTTTGTGGTAAGCTTATACCAAAACTTACATGTGTCAACATGCATTATGGCATTGATGTGGCAAGATCTTTGGCAGATGTAAAGCTTTATATTTCAGTGACCATGGGACCATGTGCATACCATGTGCAAATGCGAATGTTTTAGGTGAACTGGCCATGGCTTGGGTATGGGGCGATGCTGGTGTTGTTCCAGTTCCAGCTCCAGTAGCTGAGTCGGCCCTATGTCGGCACTCAGGTGCAAGCTGGGCGGGTTGATGAATTTGTCATCATTCTTTATCATGCTTTCATGATTTTTTAGTGGGTCAAAACTGAATGCTGAAAAAATCAACTTTCATTGATTTTGATTTTGCATGATTTTGGATATGATTTTGTCATGATCAGTCTTGAGTCCTTCGACGTCCTTCATAGTTATCCATTGAGGTACCCCTATGGTGGCTGACACCTCTTGGTTTGTCGGAAGCTCCCTGCAGGTTTCTGGGGCACAGCGTGGTGTTTGATCTATCAAACCATGGCCCTTCTGACAGATGTGACCTGCTTCCTCTACTCTTTGCTTCCCGGATTTTCCACTGGGAAATCCCATGGGAAACCCCACTGGACACAGATCTTCTTGCGTTGCACCGTCTCGGAATTTCTGGAGCTTTATCCGCAACATGCGTCGCTGCTGCCGGAAACTGGGCAAATCAGAGACGGCATTTTCGACCCCGAAGGATTTTTAAATTCTAAATAGGTCAACTTGACTTAATCCAAAGGTTTTTGGGCATCTTTTCGAGTTTTTCAAAGGTTTTTGGGCATCCTTTCGAGTTTTTCAAAGGTTTTTGGGCATCCTTTCGAGTTTTTTCTTGCAGGATACCTTCAGTTTTTACGCCTTGCTCTTGTGGATTTTCGCGCTTCTGTTGCTCTCTCGGCAGTTGCTCCTGAGTCTTCGGCGGGGGCTCCGGCGAAGCCCTGAGGTCTTGTTCTTCCCGGATCCCTCAGGCGTACACGTGCGACACCTGTGCCACTTGCTGCGGCAAAGTCAGAAGAGGATGTGGATCGCCATGTTTACCCTGACGGATGATGTTCTGAGCCAAGAAATCCTGAATGCTTGGGAGCGCAAGGTGGATGTGAAGGCTCGGGCTGTTTGGGATATTTATGGATATTTCAACATCACAGTGTGGAAGCGTTTCAATGTTTGGATTCGTTTGGATGAAAAAAAAATAAGTGATGAGACAGTTCCAATATGTTCCAATAAAAGAAGCAGATCCAGGGTCTGGAATTCTCCAATCAGATGCAGTGTTTTCGCCCCAGGTGATCTTGGATGATGAGCAATATGCAGTTCTAGGAGCGGATGGTGCCAGGTTGGTTGAGAAAGGTGTTCCTGTGGTGCTGGATGCACATGAAGCCCGGATGCATCACAAATTCGCAGTTCTGGATGATTGTGTAGTGACCGGAAGTTTCAACTGGACCAAGCAGGCCAGTATGAGCAACTGGGAGAATTTGTGCATTTTAAGAGACCCCTTGGCCGTTTCACCCTTTGCCATGGAGTTTCAGAAGCTCTGGCGAGCCTTCACGGACCGCACGGACCGCGGCCTCCGGGGTCGGGACATTCGGATGCCATCCCCCAAAGGGGCGGTGCACCGGAAACGCTATGGAACACCACCGCGGTGACGTGGGAAATGCCGAGTCTTCTGGTCGTACGAAGTCGTTGGTGCGACCGACAGTGAAACAACATGGCATGTTTAACGTGGTGAAACAGGAGAAGTCTGGACTCATTGTTTTGGATCTTTTGAATTCTTCAGAGGTTTCGCATGGTTTTGCCGTTTCGCATGTTTTTGTGGCACGGCACTTTCAGGATTCACGTGAGGTTGAACATTTGTTGCCATTGGTTCGAGCCGAAGGCACACCGAAGGTGCGTCGGAGGCACGTCGAAGGGTAGAGTGTCACTCCACTCACTGTCCAATGGTGCCAAATCAGTTGCTAGAGAACTTGGATACTGTGAAGCTTCAGCTACAAAGCTCTTGCGATGGCATCCTTCATTTGTCTCCTGGCCGGTGGTTTGCTGTTTGGATCTGGATGGTAAGGTCGTAAGGACTACAGCAGCTTCTATAGTTGCTGACATGTTGCTGGTAAATGTGGGCAACTGCAGCTCACCGAGTCAACCACTTTGCACGTCACTGGAAACAATGCGAAGAATGTCAATGAAAAACGTACTGGTGCAAATGGGGGAATGGGATGATTGTTAATCATTAATTAGTCGCTATTATTACTACGGGAAATATGGATCATTCTCCCAGCCCTACTAAGCACCAGTAAGAAAAGTATCACTAGTTCGCCACTTCACTGAAGCTAGCAGCTAGGGGATTGGCGCAACATGTATGCAAAGTTGCCCAGGTTCCCAAACTAGATTGCCAAGGTTTCTCCACCTTGCTGAGATGGATTCAGAGGCGAATGCCTTGAATGCCAGAAAGAAAGGCAACTCAAAACAAGTTCTGGGAAGCTTAATCACATGTGTTTTTGCATGTTTTTGCTAACCATAGATGTAGTTAGAGGTATTCAGAATTATTCAGCGTTGGTTCGCCACGCTTATTGATATGCCGTGAGTATCCCAGACGCTGCTGTTGGAGATATTCATTGTGCTAATTTTATCATATTTTATCCACCCTTCCGGAAAGTAACATAAGAATGGAATATGGCCCATTTAGAGATGATTTAGAGATGATTTAGAGATGATTTGGAGATGATTTAGAGATGATTTGGAGATGATTTAGGGATGATTCAAAATTTGGCTCTTAAAAATTGTGATTTGCCATAGCTATGTTAGCTTCCAGCTCAGGTCCCAGCAACACGGCGAATGGCAACGCTCCGTCGAATCCATGCTACGCAGCATCGAGCAGCAGCTGTCCACGGCATCCACGGTTATGACTGAGGCGCCGGTGGAAACGCTGGACGCACCGGAAGTGCGGAGGCATGGAGAATTGGTCGAGCTTGGGCAGGATGATAGTCGCAACTTGCCACGGGCGGCTGGGGAAAGCATGGAAAAACGCCATCCGGAGAGTGCGTATACTCTGCGCTACTGGGGCTCACTGGACTATAGAATCTAGCTAAAATGCCAACAGATCATGTCGGAAATGAAGTATAGATAAAATGCCAAATAGAATGTCAGAATCGATGTCAGACAAACCGTCAGATAAAATGCCAGTATGCATGTCAGAATATAATTATGTTGGATAGAATGTCGGATTGTATGCCAGATAGAATGTCAAAATGTATGTCAGAAACTGCCGGACAAAATGTCAGATGCAATGGCAGAATGTATGTCAGATAGAATGTCAAAATCTATGCCAGATGGGATGAATGCCAAAACATGTAAGAGATTGTAAGAGAGATAGAAGGTCAGAATTCATGTCAAAGATGTCAGTGTTTTTAATTGTCAGATAGAACGGCTGATAAAATGTCGGAAAGAATGTCAGAATATATAGCAGATCAGAGGCCAGATGAAACCCCCGGGGATCGGGATCACTCGAAATAAGGAATACCTGATGCGTAATTAAATGTGTAAGTTTATGTAAGTTTATTGTTCACTAAATCCGAAATTGCGAGTGCTGAAATTTGTAGGTCTCAGCCGATTGTGTGTGTTTTTTCTATTTTTTTTGGGGGGAGCGTTTGCTGAGGCAAAGCACAATCGACTTTTAGTCTGTCTCCCAAGAAATTCTTCAGCCAACTGGAACGCAGTGAGCGCTACAAGAGGGCGAAACATTTGCATTCCAAGAAAGTTGCTGCACTTCATCCTCTCCTGCGGTGCCGTGGTTGTGGTGGTCTCAAAATCCCTTCCGTTTAACGCAAGGGCATGGGGTAGGTTATGTGCAAGTTGGATCAAGTTGGTTCTTTGGTTTTGGGGGGTTGAGCCGGTTGAGCCAACAGCTCTTCCCAAGTTGTTGGGTTGATATATTGACTTGCAGGCTGATGAGTTCATTGTCTTATCTACTGGGGTATTCATTTTTGTTTGACATATGGGCCTATGAATGGCCTATGCAGATTTGTTGGCATGCAGGGTGGCTCTTGAGCTGACATGTGTTCTGACCTTCATTCCAATATTTGCTTGGCAACTTGGCAACTTTGCATTGACCAACCCCATGACACCTGATCCGAATATGCCCGAAAACCTACTCGTTCATGTGTTTTGAAAGGTACTGACATGCTGGCTGACATGTGTATGGACATTTGCATTCAAAAAGTGTTGGCTGACGCATCGACATGCTGACCAGAACCTGCATTGGGACACACAGACGCACATATGAAAGATTTACCCAATTTGTGGATAAATGTGTGCCTTCATTGAAATATATTAAATATTTGACATGCACCCTGACATTTATAACATTTTTGTGGACATATGATACATATGGAGTGGCATTTGCATGGAAGCAAGTGACATATGACACATGTATTGTGGCGCAGCATCGCCTGTTTGGGGGCGGTGCCACCTGTCCAATCTGTCCAATCTGTCCAGGTCGAAGAAGACGGTGCAACAATGTCCTGCCGGGCCTTTGCGAAAGCTTCTATCGGATTTGATCCCGAAAACCGAGGACGGGGAATCATCCCAAAATGCCCTTAATTCAGGTTAGTGAATTATTATAATTTACCCAGATATATAACAACACTGAATTTTCGGGGGTGGGTGGTGGGGTTGGGTTGGTATTGCTGGTAACCTTCATTAGCATTAGAATCATTAGATGCCCCATACATACATCTCTATACCTCTCTATACCTCTTTAATGCTTTGCTGCAACCATCATTGGGGGTATTTTTGTTGGGGGGTTAAGCATTCATATATATATATATATATAACATTCATCAACCTTACTCGGTCCTGAAGATGTGTGTCATGCAACACATATTCATAGATTTCCAAGGTTCTGCGGACATAGTGTTTTTTGAAGTTATCTCAAGTTGTAGATGCACCTTATTTTCATGTTTTCAACTGAGCAGGATCATTGAGATACGGGTGCCATGACCCCAATGGCTTCATATGCTGAGAGTCAACCACAAAGTCATTGGATTGGTTTAAGGGAAAAAATACAGGAAACCCCTATATTTAATGGAAAAAGCCATGGTTTCCTGTAGATTTTCCCTTAAACAAATTCAACCACAAAGGGTTGCTCAACCACCATCCGGTCACAACCTCTAGGCCACACCAAATCTATCTCCACTGGAGAAAGCGCGAAAATGCACAGCTGACATTGCCAGCTCTCCCTGGTTTGAGTTTGCTGCAGGCTTAGTGATTTTCTTGCAATTTGGCAGAGTTAGGGGGTGAAAGTCAAGAGGCCATGTACGCCGGAATATATTGGAATATGATTGAACTTGAAAGATGCTACATGGACATGTCCCTTCGTGCCCCAATTTACATCCGGGGCCTTCCGTAATCCGAAGATATCCAAAGTTGCGGTGGGGCTTCGAACGCCCATGATGGGCACGTCACCGTTGGGCCCAAGGAATTTGATTGTCATTGGCTTTGAAGCTCAGCTCTCGTTGTTCAAAGATGACGCATATGAAGCTGGATGGCTTGATGGATTGGAACGAATGTTTCTGTGCATCTATTGCGCCGAAGCCATGTTCCGTGCCTTTAGTTTTGGTTGGCAGATCGTATGGGACCCATGGTTTGTCTTGGATTTGACGTTAGTTGCCCTGGGTTTATTGGCGTTGGTTTTGGTGCCAATGCTGACCATCGGCAACGTGGGCAACATGCCTGCAATTAAAAAGCTTTTTGCGGTGCGAAGCTTGCGCTTGCTTCGCCTGATGAGGGTCTTGCGGATGCTGCGTCACTTCAAAATCATTTGGCGTTTGGTCATCGGTTTCCTGACAGCCTGGGATACCATCTTTGCAGCTACAGCGCTATTGTTGACAACGCTCTTCATTTTTTCCTGTGCCGCAGTCGAATTCATCGCAAAAGATGGTGATTTGGTTCACGGTGTCTTGCCTGCAGACCCCACCCATTGTTGGATTTGATGTATGTAAATGTGGTGCTGAGAATATCCGAGACTTGCGAATGCTTGCACGTTGGCTTCAGCGCGTTCCATGCCATACAGATAGTATAGGATAGTAATAGTATAAATTCAGGTCTTTTTCATTCAACTTCGATGACCTCCTTACACTGAGGTGACACCACGCAGCAGATCGTTTCAGAGCATTTTCTGGGACTGGGCCGATGTATGCTCACATTGATGCAGTTTGTAACCTTGGATGGTCTGAGAGATGTGTATTTCCCACTGGTCTTGGAAAAACCTTGGCTCGCAGTGCACCTTGGCTAAGCGGCTAGCTGGATGTCTGATGAAACTGTGGCGGCACAAAGATTTCTACAATGGCCGTGCAGTCGTATGTTGGTTCATAAACATTCATAAACCCCATTGACGAAAATCTCTAGCTTTAAGTCTCATAAACCAGAGTCAGTGGAGTTATAAACCAACTTGGCTATCGGGGGGGCTCCACATTGCAGGATTGCGGACTTGCAGATTGTGGTAATTTGGCACCTCCCTCCCCATGCAAAAATCCAACTTTACCATACCACTGGCCACAGGCAACAGCTGGTTCCTAATTACAAAGGGTGGCTGCGTTATTTTTCATGATATGGCTGTTCTATGTTGAACATATTCGTAGTATGTGCTTTGTTTTTGTCATACATTATGACATGTGTCAGCTGCATGCAAAAATTGCAGATCCAAGAGTACAGATGATCAGATGGAGGTGCGCGGTTTGATTTTGGCAAAGGTTCGTCCTTCATTATTTCCCTCAGTTTTCCACAACCTAGTCAATGGATTGGTTTAAGGTAAAATCTACAGGAAACCATAGATTTTCCCGGTAAATATGGGGTTTTCCTGTAAATTTTCCCTTAAACCAATCCATTGACCTATGACAAAATTATGGGGACGACATTGTTTTGAATTTGTTGGACATCTCTGGCATCCGAGGTACTTTTTTGTTGTTCTCCTGGTGGTTTCCGTGGGACTTCTGAATTTGGTGACCGCCTGTTTCGTTGAAACTTGAGCGAACACGGTGGTTTTTTTTTCTCCATGTCCTCCCACATATAATTTAAAGGAGAATTGAACTTCAATAAATGCATGGTTCTTTGCTGACACTCCAAGTAAGCATGAGCGATATCTAATAGGTTCTATTTCAATAGAATGACATGTCATAGTTAATATAACAATTTGTAATAATTTTCATAATAACAATAACAGCAATAATAATAACACTTTATATAATGATAATAATAATGCATATTGGCATATTGCTTCCTTTGCCCTCATACCATGGAGTTCCTCTGACTTCCTCCAGGCAGAGGTTGACTTTGAACCTGTAAGCGCCCATGTCGCAGGAAAATGCCATGGACAACGCCGCAATTACTGCTCAGGAAGAGCGATCTTTGTTGAAGCAGAAGGTGCGTGGAGTTCAGTCCTCAGATTTCCAAAAAGAAGCTGCGGTCCAGACTGATTTGAGGCCGTTTAAGTGGCACAGTTTGTGGTAGATTAACCCTTAAAACGGCAAGTCGTTTGACCATATTGAATGATTGCTATAGTCAGACTTTTCTCGTTCTGATTCTGAGGCCTTGCCTTCGCTCATCAGCCTGTTTCAAGAACTTGATGTAGATGGCAGCGGGCTTTTAACGCATAAAGAGGTAGATCATGTTCCAGTGGACATTCTACCGCCGCGAGTTTTGGATTCCGTCTATGTGGATAGCATGAGCGACATCTTTGATCTGCTGGATGTGAACGAATGCGGCTTTCTTACTCAGATGGAATTTGTGGAAGGTTTGTTGAACCTATGTTTGTTGGATACGCCCGTGGCAACTATGCAGAACTTCAAGCTGCTGAAGATTATTCACGATCAACTGGGGCGCATTGAGTACTTGGTTTCCAATGTTTCCCAAGATCATCATGCGGACGATCAGGCTAACGATGATGTTCTTTGCAGCTTTGCGATGTAAAACATGGCGATGTTTCACAGCGCAGGCCATCCGAGGGGATGGCCTGCTTGTGCCTTTTGATCTTTGGACATGGGCGTGAAAACATGATGAAAAGGAGTTGGTGCTTATGTGGGATACCTCCATATAACTATATAATACTATATTGCAATAAGTGATGTCGGAGTGGAGTTTATGTAACGTAGCAACGTAACTATGTTGAACCTGGCTCCTTAGCCATTGGCTTAAGCAACTGTGTGACCCCCTGGCGGGCCCGATGTGGCTCGCTGGGGGTGTTGATCGGGCAAAGTGGTTTGCCCACCGTTTCGTTACCGGGCAGCTCGTGGAAGGGGCTGCCCGTGATGACAGTGGGAAAGCTCAGGGCACGGTGCTCGTGGAGGTCTTGGGAGGCATATCCACGAGTACCGCTATGTAGTGGCATCTGGCCCGCACCTGCGGTGGTGGATGGATCAAGGCGACGGCCGTTCCTTGGCGGCGAAGTGTCGCTATCATTGCTGCGAGGTGCCTTCAGTGGATTGCCCTGAGCTGAAACGCGGCCGAAGCTTCCACTTCGAGAAGTTCCGGGTGATCAATCAGAAGGAGTTGGATGCCAAAGTCCCCGCGTGGGCGTTCGGTCGGTCATGTGCCAAGCTCATGAAGGCGTACTTGGCCAACCGCACCGAGGAGTTGCCTCCCCCTGGGGGTGACGGGCAAGGCCCTCGTGACGAACTACCTTGGCGTGAGGCCGGTGATGAAGAATCTTCTGGCTCATCGGATGCAAGTGGTTCTGACCGTGGCGACTTGAAGGCCAAGCTCCAGGCAGCCCGTGACAAGGTGAAGGCGTTGGAGAAGCGCTATGCCCGGGGGGACAAGAAGGAGAAAAAGGCCAAGGACGGCAAGGAAAAGAAGAAGCACAAGAAGAGACGTGGGAGCCGCCGTGAGGAGAGAAGTCGCTCATCTCGCCGAAGGCGCAAGAAGAAGGGCGAGCAGTCACCCCGCCGTTCAAGGCGGGTGGAAGGTCCAGAAAAGGACAAGAAACCTAAGGAACGAGGAGCTGACAAGGAAAAGAAAAGGCGGTCTAGCCCCACCTCCCCCGAGGGGAGTGAAGATGAACGACAGCCTCGACTTTTCGGAGGTGATGGAAGTGATGAGTCAGATCCAGGTCATTCTGCCCGAGGGCGGCCAGACCGTGGACCTTTCGGCGGTGGTGATGTGGTTCGCTATGGGGAAGGCTCTGACAGTGACTCGGAGTCTTTTCGGGACGCCCCCGCAGGCCAAAAGGCAGGGAATCAAGTCCACTTGATTCAGTATGCAAAGAAGAAGCCGGGCAGACTTGCCTCGCGTCTCCTCTTGAAGATGCGGAGAGAAGGAGCCCAAGGGTCTGTGGGGGCGAGCCGGAGAAGAGACGGACTGACTCCACCGTCGGCGGTTCATTACCTGGTGACAGTGATGGGCCCCCGCCTAGGAACAAAGCTGAACATGGCGGAGCCAGCGCGAGCTGCGCACCTTGTGCACCGTGCTGGACATGATGGCCCAGCATCGTCACGCCTAAGCGGCGGACTTGGTGGGGCAACGAATCAAGGCCTTGGAGAAGGCCACGGCGGACGGCCATTGGGCCTCAGCTCAACACCTCGAGCTACTCAGTCCCGAGATGGGAGGTCTCCTGGAGAGGGACGAGGAGATCTACACGTCCCGAGAGCATCTGCTAGATCTGAAGCTGCAGAGCTACGAGGGATGGAAGAAAGGTCCAAAGACCGATCAAAAGGGCGACCAAGAAAAAGGAGGAAGAAAAGGCAAGGAGAAGGGTCGCGGGAAAGGAAAGGAGAGCAGCGTGACGGCACCAGGCGACCCAATGAGCCTGTGGATGGAGCGGTGGCAACGGTGGCGCTCGGAAGAGCACAGCCCGGCCGAGGTGCTGGAAGGATTATGGCTGCATTTGAGGTCCCTCCCAAGCAAGCTGGGTCACTTCTCACTGGCGTCTGCTGGGGATGGGGTGCCTCCCGGGGCTGGAGCCTCAACTCGCGTGAGGGGTGACGACCTTCTGCCCATCGATCTGAGGGAAGTAGCCACACACCTGCTGGATGCGGGAAGCACCGTTGCCAACAGCGTCGCCTGCCTTCTGAACTCCCTGAACTACCTGGCTCTGTGTTCTGGTCATGCACCGGTTCCGACCGTGATGCCTGAGAGGACGCTGACCAGCCCGCAGAAAGAGGTGATCGAACATGTGCGTCGAGCTGTAGAGCATCTGGAAGCTACGGGCGAGCGGGTTGCCCCCTTTGAGCGCATGTCTGCAGAGCTGAAGGAGGCGGCCAGGTTTGACTACTCTGGTGAACCGATTCTCATGATGGAGGACTTAGAGGCTGAGCAGGTTATCGCGGCCTGGCCGGCCATTGGCCAAGCGGCGGTTCAGGATGCCACGACATTCTTACCGGATCATATCCGTGAAAAGTTGGAGGACCCTCGGGCTTGCCTTCTACCATTGCATGAGTGGCCCTCACCAACCCCCATTTCCAAAGTGAGGGCCTCGGATGAGGAGTGGCACAAGGTAGTTGCAGCAGCTCACGTGAGGGGCTTGATGGTCCCCCTTGACCCGGAGGATGTCTTCAAGGATGCCTCTGGTGAACCCGTGCTCAATGGGGCAGGCGCGGTGCCCAAGTTTAAGACCATCGGGGGCCAAAAGCAGAAGTGCCAGCGGTTCATCAGCAATCTGATCCCCTCGAATGCATTTCAGACCCGCATTGACGGTGACGACAAGTACCTCCCGTACCTGGGACAATTGACCCTCTTGGAGCAGGAGGCCGATCAAGTTTGGTTGACCGACAGCGAGGACTTCACCTCATCGTTTAACCTGTTCCGTCTGCCGGCGGCGTGGCACAAGCTGATGGGGTTTGGCAAGCTGGTGGATGCGTCAGCTTTTGGGGGTCCTGCCGGTCGGAAGGTATACCCGGCGATGGCCGTGGTCCCTATGGGATGGTTGAGTTCGGTGGCTGTGGTGCAGGCGATCGTGCGGAGCCTAGTCTTTGACCATGCTGCGGTCCCACGGCAGACGGAGGTGACCAAGGTGCAGCCCATCCCCGACTCGGGGGACCTTACAGTCATTTACCTGGACTCATTCGATGAGCTCCGGCGGCTGGAAAAGGGATGCAAAGAGGCTCTGGATGAGAGCATGTCCGACCGGCATGCCCAGTTCCTGAGGGTGTGCCGTGAGAAAGGCATGCCGTTGAATGAGAGCAAACGGTTGGTGGCTGCTACCAGAGGGACGCTGCAAGGAGGCTTGCTGGACGGCGATGCCGGCCGGTATGGGCTGTCCGCTGACAAGATGGCAAGCCTCATAGGGCTCGCCAGCTCACTGATTGGGCATCATCAGTGGTCAGAATTCATGCTACGTCACATGGTGGGCAAGGCGACCTTTGGCATGTGCTTTCGGCGGCCGCTCTTCTCGGTCCTGCAAAGCGTGTTCAGTGAGATCCAGTGCAGGGCTGCCTGCCGTGACATGGCATCCCCAGCAGCCACGGTGGTTGACGAGGTCGTGATGGTCCTGAGCCTGGTCCCCATGATGTTCACCAACCTGAAGGCTGGGCTGGACGAAGAAGTGGCTGTGACGGACGCTTCACCCTCCGGAGGAGGTGCTGCAGTGGCGACGCGATTCAGGCCACCGCCCCTGACTGTTGACAGCGACCCCAGGATCTCCTACGTGTGTGGCAGCGATTGCTCGAGCCGAGCCAGGTACCCTTGCCCAGCGGAATGTGGAGCCATGTTCTGCTCGCTGGCGTGCGTGATGGGCCATCGCGACATCGACAGGCCAGCGGCTGGTGAATGCCCGCGCCGCGCCTGGCGCCCGCCCCGCTTTGGTGAGCGGTTTTCGGGAGCAAGGGCACCTCTCAGCCATGCCGTTGCCTTGGAGGGAAGAATTGAAGTTCAACCCCCGTTTGATCTCCACTTCGGCTTGGACATGTTCACAGAACATGGGCGGTCAGAGCTCCAACGCCTCATGGAGGACGAGGACCTGGCTGCAGAGCATTGGGCCCCTGAATGTAAGCTGTTTTCGCGGGCCCGGGGCCGGCCGATCACGTTGGAGGACGGCAGGACCATCCAAGGTCCTCAGCCAGTGCGTGACGGTCGCCACCTCATGGGCTTCCCGTGGCTTTCCCACGACACCCGTGCACGGGTGAGGCAATCCAACAACATGGTCCTCAAGGCGCTGAAGCGAGGCCGTGACGTCAACAGGCCCAACAGGTACTGGACGGTGGAGCACCCGTACCGCTCATGGATGTGGGACTTCACTCTGGTCAAGGAGATGGAGCGCGAGCCGGACTTCAGCCACTCCGTTGGGTCCTCCTGCTGCTTTGGTGGGCAAAGAGAGAAATGGTTCTCCTTCTTTGGAGATCTTCCTACGTTGCCGCAGCACCTGGCGGTTGACTGCCCGGGCCACCAGGGCTTGCTCTCCTACCAAGTCACCCAGCGGGCCGACGGCTCCCTGGTGTACCCAACAGAAGAAGAGGCAGAATACCCTTGGGAGCTCTGCACTGAGTACGCCGCGGCCTTGACAGAGCAGCTCAACCTTGATGGGCGCTTCGAAGCAATGGTCAGCGCCCAGAGGGAGCGCTACTACCTGGAAGAACTTGCACAGTCCACCGGGCGTCTGGCTGCCACACCGGTCAAGGAGGCCGTGGCCGCCGTCCTGGTCAGAGAAGAAGCCCTCATGATCCAGTCTGAGGAACGTGCCCACCTGAAGATGCTGCTGAGATCAGCTACTTACCGAGGAACCGACGTGAGGTTCTTCGTGGAACTGGACACGGATGGGCACCCCACAATGCATGAAGTCCCGTACCTGGCAATGCGATGGGACTGGAAGACCATTTTGGCCTTCCCATGGAAAGAAGACGGTCACATCAATGAATTGGAGCTCAACGCCGTGGCAGCGTACCTCAAACGCAGGTCACGGTCGCAGTTGCGCCACGGGAAACAATACTTTCATGTGCTGGACAGCATGGTCACCCGGGGATGCTTGGCTAAAGGCCGCAGCAGTTCCCGGAGGCTCAATCAGGTTCTGAGGAGGTGCACAGCTCTTCTCATCGCATCAGATGGCTATATGTTCCCCCTGTGGACTATCAGCAGGTGGAACTTCGCGGACAAACCCAGCCGCCTTCATGAGGCGAAGAACTAGCCTGATGTATGCTGGGCTGCATCCTCGAACCCTTAGAGCCTATCGTTTAGCACTGGATCGTTTCCTGAAATATGTGAACAAGCACCGTCTGCCACTACGAAATGCCAGGTCGTTGGACAAACAATTAGCTGAATTCATAGATTTATCGTATCAAGAAGGAGAGCCCATCTCCTACGCAGGACACCTTATGTCCGCCATCAAACGGTTTCACCCGCAGTTGCGGTTGTCTTTACCCAGGTCGAGCCAGCTCTTTCGCAACTGGCAACGCTGCTATGTCCCCTCCAGGGCATTGCCAGCGTCTTGGGACCTGGTGGAAGGCCTGATGGGCCTTGCGTTTCACGATGGCCAGCCGACCTTTGCACTGTTGTTGGCTTTAGGCTTTAACTGCCTTCTTCGTACCAGCGAGATGCTGTCTCTCACCCACAGACATGTGGTGTTCCACCCACGCCGAACTGGTCTTAGCGTGGTGATTCCTGGCAGCAAAACCTCACAGGGCAATCCGCAGGTGCTCTTGGTCACGGACCATCAACTGGTGCGGCTCGCTAAGACCATCGTCCAACCTATACTTCAGACGCACTGCTTTGGACCGCAGGAGCCCACCAATTTCGTAGGACGTTCGATGGATTCCTGGTGCGACTGCAGTTTTCCTCGGGAACTTATACCCCCTACTGCTTGCGTAGGGGTGGTGCCACCTGGTACTTCCAGTCGTCACTTTCTTTGGATGCAACGGTTACCCGTGGCCGCTGGTCCTGCAGCAAAACCGCCCGTCAATACATTGACGAAGGGACAGCCCAACTGGCCCATGCCTCTTGGACGCCTTCACAACGGCGTACAGTGGGCGCCTGGAGTCGCTTCCTGCTGAAAGTACGGCTACGCCAGGAGGGCAGAATCGGAAGTACGTGAGGCTTCCTTTTTCTGAAAGGTGGACAACTGAGGCTCTTGAGCCATAAAGGCCCTGGTCTCTTGAGACTGCAAGGGCGGCCCAAGCACCAGCCACCTGTGCTGTGAAAGGGTCATGACTCTTCTTGGGCTAGCTGCGTAGGTGGCGTAGTTAGCCAGGCTGTACAGTGGTAGAGCCTCGACGTAGCAACTGTGAGGCACCCCTGAAAAAGTGAAGGGCGTGCCTGCTAGAGAGCCTTTGGTGAGACATTGCAATAAGTGATGTCGGAGTGGAGTTTATGTAACGTAGCAACGTAACTATGTTGAACCTGGCTCCTTAGCCATTGGCTTCCCACCATCCTGCCCCTTCACCACCCTTTGGGTGTGCCGACCTAGGGAGGATGCAAAGTTGTGGGACAACTGAGGCTCTTGAGCCATAAAGGCCCTGGTCTCTTGAGACTGCAAGGGCGGCCCAAGCACCAGCCACCTGTGCTGTGAAAGGGTCATGACTCTTCTTGGGCTAGCTGCGTAGGTGGCGTAGTTAGCCAGGCTGTACAGTGGTAGAGCCTCGACGTAGCAACTGTGAGGCACCCCTGAAAAAGTGAAGGGCGTGCCTGCTAGAGAGCCTTTGGTGAGACATATATATATATATCTCTCTCTCTCTCTTTACGGTAAATCTATATAGATAAACATAAAAATATAGATAAACATAAAAATCATTAAAAATAAAATTGCATATATATATATGTATATAACTATATATATATATACATTTGTATATAATTGTATATATGTATATAGGTTACATGGTTTGAGAGCTGCTTCTTTTGATGTTGATCGCTGAGATATGTTCTTTGGGCTTCAGACCCAAAAGGTAAATAAGGTCAAGTGGTACAGTTAAAAGCACTGGGGTTTCCTTATATCACCACCAAAAAGAAATGTTGGAAGTTGGAAGCCTCGAAATTATGGAGGGAAATATCCTCTACAACATCCTGGAAAAACTGCTTTATCTCTTTCGAAACCCCATTATTCAATAACTTCAGCCAAAGCTTCGCATGATTTTTGCGAAGATCCTGTGGCATGTGTCGCTGTGGCAGCATCGGTTCGAGTATAGCTTCAGGGCTGGTACTCCATCAGTGTTTGATGCTGCCGAATGAGTTGCTGGGGAACTTGGGCGCTGTGAAACTGCAGCTCCAAAGCTCTTCCGATGGCATCCTTCAGCTGTCCCCTGGTTTTTGAGGTCAAGTGGATTGAAAACATGGAAGTGGTCATCTTCCAATAGCAGGGGAAAAAACCGGCAATATGTTCCATGTGTGCTTCCATATTCCATGGGCGAGACATGTTGACATGTGGATCAGCAAAAGACATGGAATGATCACGTGGATTATCCTTCTCGGTTCACCACCGAGGTCCCATCAACATCGGGAATGGCAACGCTCGGTGGAGTCCATGCTGCACAGCATTGAGCAGCAGGTGTTTCATATCTCGGTGGAGTCCATGGCTGTGTCAGAGGTGGAAGTCACGGTAGCAGAGACGCCCCAAGATTTGCACCACACTTCGCATGGCATCTTGGGGCCTAACATAGGAGACGATGGCGGCAACTTGCAGTAGCTTAGTATGGCTTTGTGCTGTTCAATCAAATCATGTTTTTCTTCTTACAGGGTGTTTCTGTTTAAAGTTTTGATGCGACAGTGTGTGATTGGGCATGTATAAGTTCCTCTATAAGATTGTGTCCTTGTATGCAACCTGCATTTGATGGTTTTGATGTGCAATGTGCACCACATGTTTTTGCGGCTGCTTGCATAGCTTGGCGAAGAAAATGAGAGCCTAAATGACCCGTTCCATGTCAATGTTAGCAGCATTTAGCATTTGTCCTGTCTGGTTTTCCCACTTGAACCTTCGTTCTGCAAGGTTTCCATCCAGACCCACCCCAACCTGGCAAACCTGGCAGGCAAATCTCTGCCGAGTTTCAGCTTGTCTCCGAAGAAATTCTTCAGCACCCAACTGGAGCGCAGAGAGCGCTACAAGAAGGCGAAGCATTTGCATTCGAAGAAGATTTCGGCACTACATCCCCTCCTGCAGCCGCCTGAATCGCATGATGCGAAATGTGAAAATCGTGAAACAGAATCCTCCAGGGAGCTTCATGAAAATTCACGATGTTAGTTGAAAGATGTTTAAAGTGCTTGACAGGAGTGGCAATGCGTCATGGCCTTTAATTACCATGTTTCTTTCTGTCATCACGCGTCATTCTGACATACGTCTAAGCAACATTTACTATCAGCTAGTGATGTTCAAGTGGGTTCGTGGGCCCTAGCAGTTTTTTTTTTAAGACCAGTGAATGACTGTGCCCTGGAAGACACTTCTAACTTCTGATTTCGATCCCATGGTTCTTGAGTGGCTTGGTATGATGGGCTTGGTATTCCATGGGTAGCCGCCTCTGTGCATCTTAGTAATGATCCATGTCATGAGGAGCTCTGAGAATTCCACACCATCATATAGTAAGTCCATTTCATTCTCCCTCTAAAACAAGATTCAGAAAAGTCATGCCATTTACCCGCTATCTATTTTGGTTATTTACCCGCTATATTTTGCTATGGTTTTACCATGTTAAAAACCTCTCTATCTGTTCGGGGTTGCCATATCCCAGGCCTGAGTTTCCCCTGAGTTTCCCCCGAGTTTCCCATCTCCGTAGCGGAAAGGTCCCGGAAAGCGGTTCAGCAATGCCCCGCCGGACCTTTACGAAAACTGCTGTCCGAGATGCTGCAATCAGAAGACCAGGCCTTTTTAAAAAATGGCCTTCAACGACCAGCATTTTTAGTCGCAGTTTTGATTTCATTGTCTATATAATTATGTCTATATCTCATATCATTGGAGATGTTTATTGTATGCGAGACCTTCGGGTGCAACATGTTCGACCTGCATTTCTAGTTGGTCAGTTGGTGTTTGCGTTTGGACAGGACGCGCCAGCAATGCTATCTGTCACAAACAGGGTCAGAAGTTTCAGCGCCAGCATCGCCGGCTCGACTTGGTTTGAGTATGGATCGGGGTTGGTGATTTTCCTGCGTCTTGGCTGTTGATGATTGATGGTTGGATGCTGTTGGATGGAGATTCAGATAGTTTGATTAAGCCAAAGCATCAACAAGCATCAACAATTGATGGTTAATTAAGATGTTTCAGCGAAGATGGTGGAACCCAAATTTGGCCTTTTACCTTTTTGCATCAGATGCCATGGAAGTTCAGCCAGGGTTTGTCAACCGCTTTCTGTTCTTTTCGCGTACCCAACATCAGACAGCCATGCAGCCATGGTTTCCCCCAACATATTGGGGATTTTGGTGAGTTTTACACCATTTACACCATTCGCAGCAATTTTCTTGTCAGGAATTTGATTGCCATCGGCTTTGAAGCTGAACTCTCATTGGAAGCCGGCGACTATGACACTGGATTTTGGTTCCATGGACTTGAGCGGCTCTTTCTCTGCATCTATTGCGCTGAAGCACTTTTCCGTGCCTTCAGTTGCTTGGATTTGCTATGATTTTCCCAGTCTTTCCCCTTAATCTACCAAGAAAAAGGGGAATTCTACTGGAAACAAACATGTGTTGCAAAAAAAAAGTCCCCTATGACCGCAGAGGTTTTGGTTGGCAGATCTTATGGGACCTTTGGTTCTTGATCGACTTGGCCTTGATCTTTGTGGGAATTCTGGCCTTGGTGGTGATTCCGATGTCAGCCAGCAAAATGACTGGCTTTGAGAAGCTCTTGTTGGTGCGAGGCTTACGCCTCCTTCGCCTCATGAGAGTCTTGCGGATGGTTCATCACTTCAAAATTATTTGGCGCTTGGTTTCGGGTTTCTTAACGGCTTGGGATACCATCTTTGCGTCCGCAGCGCTGATTTTGGTGACGCTCTTTATCTTCGCCTGTATCGCGATTGAATTCATAGCCAAAGATGGCGAGCTGATTCGAAGCCTCCTGGTCGCAGTGTACAGTGGAAGATGGATAATTCATGCAATTCATGCAGGTAAAGCCTGATCAAAGCAGTGTCACTTTGGTAGTTTTTGATATCTTTAGAAAAGTACTGTGTGATAGTCCTGTATACTATTTGTTCTATTTGTACCGTACGATTGTCATTCCGCATCCAAATTTGAGAATGCCAAATTTCTGCTTGAAATGTCCTAGCCGAGGTCCAATTACACAGCCAGTGGTTGAGGAATATTTCATGGGAGTGGGCCGATCTATGCTCACCTTAATCCAGTTTGTAACACTGGATGAACTGAGAAGTTTCTACTACCCATTGATCCTGGAGAGACCTTGGCTTTCAGTGTGACCTGCTTGCAGATGTTGTTTCTACAAATACACGCTTGATAATATGTTAATTGATTAATGAATGCTTAAGCTGTTTACTTGGCAGATTACCATTTTAGTCATCACTGAGGGCCGGGGTAGCACCCAATTAATCAACCATATGGTTGATGCTGCAGCCGCTAGTATCCACTGGTTCCTGAGGTACTTCTTCTCTATTTTGCTGGTCGTTTCCATGGGATTGCTGAATCTGGTCACTGCATGTTTGGTTGTAGCTTGACATCAGCGGCTGGCTGTGTTTGTTTCCACAAGTCGTCGTTGGCTCAGCTTGGCTCAGCTTGGCACAATAAAGCTCGTTTCACTGACAGGCACTTCGAGTCAGAATCCGATCATAATGCATTCATCCAAGAAAGTGGATCTAGTACTATGGGAGGGTGTGGCACACTCTTCTGATTTTACCAATTTTCACCATGTTTCCTGGGGAAGTTGGAGGATGTTACACACGTCAACGCTGCAGTGAGGAAAATGCCATGGACAACGCTGCAGTCACTGCGGAGGAGGAGAGATCCACGTTGAAACAGAAAGTTCGTGGAGCCGCCTGTCGTTTTAGCTGCCAGAGGGGTGGTAGTTTTTGTATGTTGTCTATCTTATTGCAGGCATTGAAAGATCATTGTTCTGATGTTACAATGTTCAAGTTGGGAATTGGCTGAGTCTGAGTAGTCTTGAGAGCTAAGAATGAATATTACTACAATATTTCGCGCACCTTGTATGCACCTTGTTTTATTTTGAGTCAGTGACATATGGCACAGCACCATTTAGGGGACAGACCTCCATAAGTTGTGGGACGTCGGTGGGATGGTTCTCACCCCCAGCCATGGTTGGTTAATTCATGGGATGCGGGATGGTTTCTAACGGTTTCTATGGCACCCTCTGGTAAACAAACAGCAGTTTGCGAACTGGAAAATCACCATGGTTCATAGGTAATTTTTGGTAAACCCACTATTTCATACTATTTCTATGGGCCATGGCTTCAATAGCAAACTGTTAAATTACTAGAGGGTAGGTTTACCTCATTTGGTTTTTACCACGCCAGTCGGAAAAGCTCAGGCTTTGCCGTCGCTGATTGACATCTTTCAAGAGCTTGACAGCGATGGTAGTGGGTTGTTGACCCATCAAGAGGTGGACAATGTGCCTCTGGAGATTCTACCACCACGAGTTTTGGATTCCGTTTATGTGGACAGTATGCGTGACATCTTTGACCTTTTGGATGTGAATGAATGCGGCTTTCTTACCCAGATGGAATTTGTTGAAGGTATTCTGAACTTGTGCTTGTTGGACATGCCTGTGGCAACTATGCAGAACCTAAAGTTGCTGAAGATTATTCATGATCAGCTGCTGCGTATTGAGCACTC